CGATGCTTGGTAATATTCTGTAATAACATCGGTCTGGGCACTCCGGGGAGAAGTGACCAGCCTCAACATCCCCACTTCGACAATCGCCTTTATTTGTTCGGATGTCGATGGCTTCACCTTGGCAAGTCTCACACCCGACAATCATTCCACTTTGCTCCGTATCCACTCACCGTCCAGTCGCCGGTCATGACGTTGCTGCGCCGGGCAATTCACATCGCGATTTCCACGACATCCCATCTCCCTCATTCCAACTTTATCGCAGCATACTGTGGAGTACACTTTGATGTACAATCCTTTCGGATATTCCTCGGCATATTCGGTTCCTGGATTTATCATTTCGCCTCAGAACCAACGAGTGATAAAGCAGAGACGATCATTGGATGTGCTCTGCGATCCTTGTTGAAAATCCAAACAAATAGCACGCATATGCGATCAGTCCCGTGCTGAGGCAAAGCGATGCTTGTGGCCATCTATTTTTAGAGATCCTGGTCAATCAAGGTCAAAGGTACTTGCATAACGCATCTTACACCGTAGTTTGGAGGCTGCGTTGACTTCGCAGATAGGTACCCTGTACTGCGACCGTATGATCGGTCAGGAATGTGTGCTGATGCAATCTACCAGAGCGAAGAGTCGCCCAATGCACTTGATGTGCATTCGTCACAATTGTATCGCAGCGGATTGGTGGGAAAAGACAAGGTCCATATCACGTTAATCTTTAGCGTTATAGTCTAATGTCCCCTTTCCAGCCACGATATTAATAATATGCAGCTCCTTGAGCTGATTTGCTAGTCAGAAGCGTGGCAATTGAACCTCCATCCAGTCCATCTTGAGCAGGTCTTGACAGCATTCCTGAATCCTGCCCCTTGCTTATTAGACGTCGTGCATGAAAGCCTATCGCTCCATGGACAATAGAACTGCTCTCACAAATCCATTGCCCCATCAAATGACCAACATTCAGTCACCGTGAAGACCAAATAATAATAATTCTTAGTGAGCTTACCTTCTCTCCTCCTACTGCCAAGCATCCCCCCGCGCCTTGGCTTATGCAATAGCTCAAGCTATCACCAAAGACCAATGAAGGACTCAATTAAAATAGCACTGGGCTTAGCTAGCTTTCATCCCTGGCTTAGTATAAGTAGATATAATTTAGGATCTCTTATTCCCATTGAAAAGTTCCGGCCGAGCCGTCGCCGTAGACCAAGTTCAGACAATAAGCCGGTAACTAGCACAGGCCAACATAGCACTTAGCAGGGATGATGCTAGGGCTAGGAGCGAATAGGATCGGCTGTATGCCATACGTCCAATCCAATAGCTATGGCCATGAGTGGCGATGGCCGAAAAGCTGTGGTTCCTATGTGCTATGATATTGTTACCCCTGGGATTGGCTTCTGTACAAAGGGTGTAGATAGAAAAATAAGTCCCAGGTATCTCATGTAGTAGGACCCAGGGACAGAATTCCATACTCATACGTGATGGGAGCTCAGCCTAATGAATTTTGACTCCAAAATATTTGATGTAGCCTTCGTGCTAAGCAACTATCCGGACTCCGATATACCTCTTACAAATCCTGAGAAACACGTCGGACTCCGAACTCCTCGATCCTTCTCGCCCCATCAATTTGATCGGAGTATGTCGCCATTTCTAATCAAAGATTGATGCCTTTTCATCAAATAGAATTCTCTTTAGTTACCCAGCCCCTCTTTTCGGTTGCACGCCTGCTGCTCCACGTCCGAGATTGGGGAACCTCCCTCCCGCCGCGAGATGCTTAAGGCATTGAGGGACGTGGAACTCAGCGTGAAGGGCCTTGGAGTTGATGAATTTTGAATTAAACCCACAGCAGCTCCGAAGTCTTAATATCCGCATTGATCCCATGGCATTGGACAAAACCTTACCCCAGAAGCTGTCGTACCTTGCTCCCTACCCGGGTCACTTAACCCCGGATCATGAGGACGATGCGCTAGTGGGTGCTTAGAATGGCCTAGACGATGAAACAGAATATTCTCTCACTCATCCCGTCCATGCGCATATGTGATTAAATATATACATTCCCTTTGCCTTTCAAGTTCAGTCTCCTATAAGGTGCCTTCTAATGTTAGGGGCTATGGTGACCTGCAGCGCTGCTATATGCAGCCAACGCCAACAGTATGGAGGGTTTAGACCTACTAGGTTGTAATATACTATATCTCTCTACTTACACACTTCCAGAAGATATGCTAATTAATAGGTGTATTTGGACAGGGATTCTAGAAAATCAAATGTGCCTGCCAAGCATTCCACAGCTACTTGATTATGTGGGAGGTAGAAACTTGTACTCAGTGTTCTTAACACAGATTATGCTCATAAATCCCGCTGCTTCCTCCATGGCCTAGTGAAAGCGCCATCCTAGGCCTGGTTGCTCAGCTCATGCCAGGTGTGAGCCTCGAGCGGCCGCCCATATCAGTAACGGCACAGCCTCTACTGCGGAGTTTTGCCAACACTTCCTAAAATATGCGGAGCCTAGACATTTGCTTGAGACGTAAAAGGTGGCCCATGGAATAGCCAGCTGGACACTGCCGTGACGAGTATTCATGCCTAAGTTTGCGTCTTCTCATCATCGTCCTGACAGAATTTTATCTGGTTTCCAAACGGGTCGATGACGCCCATCTCCTGCGACCCCGCCGCCGGACCCTCTTCAATTCCCGGCCTCATATATCGGTACGCTTTGGCACTTAGTTCGCGATGATATTCCGCGATTCCCCTCATCATTATGCGGACCTGCACACCCGGGCTGCCATCCCCGTGATGCTCACTTAGGTGAAGGATCAGGTTTCCCCTAGAAATCTGCCGATATAGTGGCGCGTTGTCGTCGAACCGATGATCCCAGTCGACCTTGAAGCCGAGATAGTCGAGATAGAACTCGTCCGCCTTGACGATGTCAAAGATGCGGAGGATGGGGACGACCGATTGGAAATCGATAGCCATGAAGTCTGGTTACGAGCACCAGTGAAAGCAGTGGCAGTTGATCGTACACCTTATCTTTACTGTAGTCGAGAAACCAAGTAAATTGGTTCTAAAAGAAGGCGAAATATATGTGGAGGATTTGGCAAATCATGGAGCGGTCAAACGGATGACACCTCGGTTGGGTCCTTGAGGTCGGTGCCTGCCGCACAGGCCACCCAAGTTGAACTATCAGGCAGCATGCTGAAGAAGCTGCCCAATAAAGTCTTCGAAGAAAGCACCTCAGTGGAACCCGTACAGACCCGAGAAAGGATGACTCCATCCTGTGTATAGGCAGGCAGTATTTGATAACGTTGGCCTCGATGGAATTCTGCACACGCTTGTCCACAGCCAAAGCACTGTCTCTCTGATCAATGCTGACTGCCTGCTCGTAATCAGATTCGGCAACCTCATCGGCATATTTCCGGATCTTGTCAGGATCGCTTCTTGTTGGGGCCATGGTGGTTCGTTGGCCGTATCGAGCGATCGCCGAATTTACCATTGAAACATTCAGACAATATCGAGGCCATTGCTCTCATTGTAAACGCGGAGTCTGGCTGGGGACGAGAAAGTGTCAACAAGGGAGTTTCAAAGGGTGGGCATCGTTCACATGGTCGTCGTCAGGCAAGGCTATATAAAGGATCGTTAGCCTTGGATCAAGCAAGTGGAACAAGTTGTTCAGGTGGCAGAAGTAACATATCTGTCGATTAATACTCTGAATCTCCATACTATCAGTGTTGGTTGTGTATGGCGGCATTACAGGCCGCTGTAGCTCCTAACAGTTGAACTCACCTAAACTCAGACCAAATGCAACTCTGGTAGTAAACTAGGTGATCTAACTAGGCACCTAGCCCCCTAGCCCCCTCTAGAGTTATTCAGATTTATAAGAGTCACTAAGGGAATTAATATGATTGGAATAATTATAAATCTAGAAGCTTAAGGGGCACTGTGTAGATGCACAGTGCCTATCTAAACTCTTGTGATATATCTCCTACTGTGATAGATTTGCAAAAGTGGAGTGAGTCCCTTGGACTGTTAAATGGTAAGCAACAAAGCATGTATTTCGACCTTCCTTTAGCTAACGTGCACCTACCTTAGTGTCGGACACTACCCCTTTACGGGGTTATATAGGTAAAGTTGAGCAGCCCGAGTTCGGGCGCTACCATATCGCAGATCTGAATGGTTCCACTATCATATTTGTAGTCCAAACACTCCATATTTGGATCTTGACAGTGAGTTGCCTGCATAGTAATAAGAGCCCGGCTGCCGGGGGATAAATAGATCGGTGATGATGTGATCTCATAAATCGCGTCAAACCATGTGGGGAACTTGACATTGATCGGCAGCAATAGCTCAGCTGGAATGTGAAGGGTCCAGCCAGAAGCAACTACGTATTTATCAGCTGGGATGCACAAATGGACAAGTCATCCTCAGAAAATGAGTGTTTTTCTTTTTCTTTTTCTTTTCTTTTTTAAATTTTATTATTCTCCTTTTTGAAAGAGGATTGGCAGGAGCAAGACTTTTGACAGAGCTTTTGCTTGTGATGGCCCCTTGAAATGATCATAGCGACAACATCTTAGAAAAGAGGATATCGGAGATGATCATGCAGCGTGTCTTCAGTTCTAGCCCCTGATTGAGTTTGCTGGGTAATGCAGTCTACCCTGTAAATACTCACACTGTCAGCCAATTCGGATCAATGCTTGGGGGATCGCCAATACCTTCGCCGAAACTAGGTAGCAATGCTTGAGATCATGCGTTCGTCCGAGCACCTAGACTTCGCCCACACATCGTGCTTTTGGGATAAGCGCAATGGAGACCTCCCCCTTGTGCGTATCTTTCTTCTCTTCAGGGGTGTGGATTAAACTGCCCAATCCACGAGTTACACAAATGCAGGGTTTGCGAACTTGAATGCAAAGTATAAATGAGCCATGCTTCCCCAGTCCCGTTCTTTTTCTCCCTCAGTCGTTCATTCGACTCATCTGTTGATTTTGATCCGCATTCCCTTAAATCTTTGATAGATCATCATGCTCAAATCTGCACTGTCTCTGGCCTTGCTGGCAGCTACTTCCCTAGCCGTCGACCCGGCCGCCATCTACACTGGCGGATACTCTGGGGGCAGCGTTAGGCTCCGGATTGGCAATGGAGGAGCTGGGCAAAGTGGCTTGATCAAGGGTACGCCTTGGATCACCTCATCCGTCAATGTCTAGCCTACTGACTCTGTCAATACACAGCTCTCGCCGATGCCTTCATCCAGTCCAGCGTCAAGAACGGCTCCGACCCATTCAAAGTCGCCTGGTACAAGAGCGACACCACCGAGTCCATCAACTACCTCAAGGATGACACCATCGATGTTGGCATCACCTATACCCCCGCTGCTGAAGAGATCGCCATCAAGCAGGGTGTGGCCAAAAGCCCTGCATGGTATGCCTGGCGCGACCACTTTCTGCTAGTTGGACCACCCTCCAACCCGGCCGGACTCAATAAGGCAGACGACATCAAAACAATGTTCTCCAGCATCTACGCCGTTGCATCGGCTGGTGACGCCGCCAACGTCACCACTCCTGTTCGCTTCCTGACTCGCTATGACAAGTCAGCCACCAACATCAAGGACTCCCAGCTGTGGATCGAAATCGGACAAGTCAGTCATCCACTACACCTTATCCGAATACCTTAAAATACCTTGACTGACAAACACTAGGTCCCTTGGGCGACCAAGTACTCCACCTGGTATCATCAGTACATTGCCTATCCCATTCAAGCCTTGACTGCGGCCATTCTCCTCGAGGAGTACACCATCACTGACCGCGGGACCTACCTGTCTATTGACGAGGCGCTTGCCAACAAGACCACCATCTACAAGGCTGCCACTGACGACCCTGCCGATCCTCTGCTCAATCCCGCACACATGCTCGTCGGCAAGAAGGCGAGCAACATGAAGATGGCTGACCAATTCACCCAGTGGGTGATCAGTGCCGAAGGTCAGGCTGTCATTACTGGCTTCAAGAAGAACGGAAAGCAGTTGTATACCGCTGCGCCTGCTAACAAAACTGCTCCGTTTAAACTCTAAAGTGGCGTGGGATATGGAACAGTCATTAGCAGCTTAAATTTCTCCTATTGTTAATAATAATAATTCTTCAGCAATTTTTCCGCCTGCTCATAGATTAGAATTCTCTTTTTCCTTTTTTGGCCGAGGACTCTGCTGACGCACATGTGAAATGGCCCCTGATTTATGTTGATGGTTCTGGATATAGTCATTGCACTATTGGAATACTGCGCAGAATGCTGTGCTGTGATAGGCAGTGGATATCTTCCTCAATGACAAATTCCAGAAACTGAAAAAACAACAACGGCAGTGACATCAGGATTTTTTAAGCTCTTCGGTTTCTCCAACACGTTTGCGGCTATTACCGCTATTTTCACGAGATTAGTTGATCTGGGATACTTCCCCAGCTAGTGGAAGGCAGGCGCGGATCGTATACTCAACACTAGGGGAAATCCTCGAAGCGGTCATGGCCCAAAGGCTCTCCCTCCTATTGGGCGGGGAAACAACAAACTCCTCCCCGGACACTCAGTTTGGAGGCAGACCGGGACGGGACACTGAGGAAGGCCTACTAGTGCTTGCTAAGGTGTCTTACTGTAGGTTGGCAATTTTGCAGAAGAAGAGGCGTCCAGAGATATCTTGAAGCAAGCCCCTGCAATAGTCAAGCGCACTCTTCAGTGCCCAGATAAATGCCGTCCACTTTTATTTCAGAATTTCCAGGGGCAGCAAACAGACTGTCAGCAAGCTTGGAATCTTCAATGGTGGAGATTTACATGTTTATGTACTACGGTCTGACCTTTGTGTGTGGTGTGCTTTTAGAATAATGGATGATGCCGTGATGCTAGCTGGATACAGATGTGGTGACGGAAGTGTCATCACAAGGACCAAATGGCTCATGAAGACAATTCATACATCCGAGTTGCCCCAGTGATGACTTACATAGTTGGAGCTATTGCGTTTCGTCGCCTCAGGCAGGACCAGGATACTTCTCAATCTCATTACAGAACGGTGTCTATGCCAAGATGGTCGTGGCAACCACTCTGCTCTATATCGTCTTATTTTTCAAAATGATTTGAGCGAGTCACTTAGTCCTGTCATTCTCGTTGATCTAATGGACCTTGCCCAGTCACGTACCAATGGTACAGCATCAGTACCCGATGTTAACTTAAACCACCAGTCCTAGAGTCGTGCATATGGGAGAAATCGGGAGAAACCGGGGACGTATTGTGTATCGTAGGCAAATCCGCCTGGTTTTCTCCGAGTGTATCTGCTACTGCTTTGGCCATTCCTGTCAAAGCATGAGCTTGAATGAACTAGCCTAGCCTGAGACGATTGGCTCATCAGGGCAAAGTCGCCCGGGCGAATGAATGACCGAGAGAATGCATTAGTGATATGGGATTCGGTGAAGCGGCTTGCGTGCTGTTCGATGGGAAAGCGGATTTCTCCATTAAGAACGATATTGCAAAGAAGCCAGCATCGGATATAGCTAGAAAGAAAGTTCTTGGGATACAGTCGTGTCAATGGAAGGGTAACTTGACAAAAATGCAAATAGTCTAGAAAGCTCGTTATCGCAATTCAACTTGGGTACGATTCTTCCGAAAACTGTCACTTTGGTAAAAGGAATCGTTTTTGTACATCAAACCATGTACCCAAGCTTTGCCCACAATAGTATAATGCTGGTCCTGGCGACGAAGGTACCAGGGGTGACTGCATGCAGCAAGAAGGGCCACGGTGTCTCCGATCTGGACGCTTGGAGGTGCTAATCCAAAGTAACCTTGTTCTGTTTTTATGAGAATGTGCTTGGACATTTCCATGCGCGCCTCCAGAGACCCCCAACGTGGCTCATCCAGTTCCAGGAGTTCCAACAATCGATTCTTGTCCAAGCGCCGCAGGAGTGTCTGTACTTTGCCATCTTCGGCTGATGGTGCGTGGCCCTCATCATGACCCTGGACCCGAGCGAGTGTCGGGCCAAGAATCGGACGACTTTCCAGCTCGTCTGACCAAGTACAGCGGACTTGTTGATAGTTGTGTTGGCATTGAGCGAGCCATTCGCTTACTGCGTCCTGCTCCTGAAAGTGGTGGGTGTGGTCAGTGTATGGCTTGGTGCCGATTGGGTTGTCCGCTATAATGGTACGCCAAAATCCCTCGAATTGGGCCTTAAATGCACCATAGACGCTGGGAGTCTTCTTTTTGCGTTCTCGCTCGGTTAACATGTAGCACAGATCGACTTCCTGAAACATCTGTTCGTTGCATCCAAGGATGTCCGAGCAGAACGTGACTTTGTCCACGATGCACCCAGATACCACGAGGGAATCTCCCTGTACCCGAGCATCATATGGGATCAGGCTGGCTGTCTCGTCAATTCTTCTTGTATTAAACACAGTACTTTCTCTCTCAGCTGACCAATTAGGGACCCATGTAGGTAAATCCAACTGTTCTGGGGGCGGTCCTATAGTCTGCTCGAAGAAACTTAGGATGTGGCAGCTTCCCCCGAATGACGTGGTATCTCCCCTGTCTCTCTCGTGGTTATTCTCTGCAATATGTTGGGCAGTACTCAGATAAATGTCTCGGACACCAAGGCTGTAATCTACGCAGTTTTCAGCCCATTGCAGCACACCCGGCCGCTTGGAGAACCTCTGCAGGAGACCCACCAAGCTGAATATTTGGTCCCGCGGGTCTGTTGACTTTTGCTTCCGAAAGTTGTTCAGTAAATGTCCAATATCAATTAGTCCGAGCCTGCCGTTGCGCCCGCTGCTTCGAATGTAAGCCATTTGGTTAAAGACTGTGTGCCCTTCAAAAGTCGAACGGGACAGATGGGACAGATAAGACAGTGTTTGCATGGAACGTGCCCACGTGAAAATCTTCTGTACATTCTTCTGCGCTTCAAAAAAATGGAAGTCGTCCAGGTAAAAGTTCTGCATACATGTAGGTTGGAGATACTGCATCCATGCACGTTGGAGTCGGTCCAGGCCGAACACATGCCAGAAGGACTCCAAATCTCCTTCATGCTGCCCGCAAACAAGCGTAGCTTTTCGAGAAAGAATTATCTCTTGCACAATCCAGGCTCGCTGGAAGTATGCTCTTCCGAACAGGTCGTTGATCGCACAAAACACCTCTCCGGCTTCACTATCTGACGGTCTCATCTCTGCTGGCTTCACACGAAGACAGCGATGGTCGAATGGGAGGTGTTCGGCAAAGCGATCAAAGTGCTCCATGCGTACGTCTATCAAACTCCTCCGAGCTCCGAAATTCGCCAAACTGCTGCATTTCAGCTCCTTTCCCCTCTCGTTCAGAACGTGTACGACATATCTATGCTGCGAGAATGGCACAGGCACGATGATCAGCCGTCGCCTGCAATAGGCAGGGCGAAGGACTATCTGCTATACTGCCTGTGGCTACTTCATCCTCGTGAGCATAGTGATGCACGCGACATTATGTACACTGCTTGTATGCTTGCCCAGCGAAACGCACCCATCCTTCACCTGAGCTACAAGAAGACAATTAGAGAAGTCTATCACGACGCTGCTATAGCGATCATTACCTATTACAGGGACCTGAAATTGCTGTCACACACGCTTTTCTCTCGCAGACGCCACGAATTAAGAAAAGCCGACACGGACGTGTCTATTGAGCCCTTGTACTATTGGCCTAGTTGGGTTCCTGATTGGCGTCTTCGTCCATGGGGTCTGGGATCTACGACGTTTAATCTCGAGGATTTTGTGGTGTCCCCGCAACTTGCGTTCAATGCATACGACGGTCTCAAGGCGCACATAGAGTTCTCCGATGATTCCAAAATCCTTCACGTTGTTGGTGTACAGGTTGGGAGAATCAAGAAAGTGTTCCGGACAAAAGATCCCCGCAACTCTGTTGACCAGGTCAGATTGCAGCAAGAGCTCGACACTGACTGGGAGACGCTGCGCCTCACACCCCCAGGACATCAACGGGAGTACATTGCTGGTGGCCCCTGGCCAGTAGCTTGGATCCGGACGTGCGAGATCATGGACCGTGAGTCATTCTCCGGGATGGTCGGCAGAAGGATACTTCGTCTTCCAGAGAACAGCTTGGAGGACAATTTGCGGCGCCTAGGTCTTTATGGCCATGGCTATCCAGAGCTTGCTACCGATGAGATAGGAACATACCGATACGGATCCTCCGAGCCTTCAAGTTGGGGTGGAATCAACGCCATCCTTAAGCCTCAGAGGCTCACAAACGCCGCAGGAGAACCAATCATAGAAGAAAGATTCCATCTCATCTCGTTAGATTCAGGACACGTTGGCTTCGGCGGGTACGCTGTCCAAGAGGGGGACCTCGTATGTATCGTTAAGGGAGGCAGCTACCCGTATGTGCTTAGACAGAGGCGGGACGGCCTTTACCACCTCGTCTCAGACTCTTGTGAGTTTCAGACAACACCCCACAGATAGTATTTAATACTAACCTTGCCTCTCAGATGTACACGGTGTAATGAATGGCGAATTTGTTCGCAGCAATGCAGATGTGGGTGCCAAGTGGCAGGACTTTGGCATCGTATAGGATGGGTTGAATCGTTGGATATCCACATATAACATGTGTCTTTTCAATGCTCCAGTTAAGGGCATCATCTGCGAAAATAGTAAAGGTGAACTCGCGCTTCCCTTTAGGAGAGGCAATGACGAATCCGGTGGTGATAATTTCGGCGAGGCTTGGGTCATGCGCAACAATGGATCGGACATGCATACGAACGCAGTAGAGCAGAATCAAGCAGGACGCGGGAGCACCGTCCATGTGATGTTGAGGGCGTGCTGCAGCTTTAGCGATCAGCTAACGCAAAAAGATAGCCTCCCATTACAAGCGACGAGAAAGTCCGAGATTCCTCAGATGACGGTGCTAAGGTGTGATTGTTCCCGCGTCACAGTAGGCCAGGCTCATTCCCAACAATATCAAATAGTCATAAGAGGTATACCACTGCATAAATTGCCTCACTTCAGCCTCCACGGCCTACCGAACCTCGAGACGGCCCAAGATGCCCGGGTCGTCCCGAAGCAGACCACTCTCCACATAATCCTTCACCACCCACAGGAGACTTCGCTCCACGACAGGTGAGGGGTCGTCAAGAGGCTCGGTTAAGGTCATTACCCGCGAGAGATACCCGAATAACCCGGTCAAGAGCTTCTGTTTTTCCCCTTGGTCTCCTTGCTTGATTGATGCGAGAGCGGAGGTGAACAGGGCCGGTGCATAAGTGGGTTGCACGGCCGGTACGGTCACCGAACCATCGCGGTTGAGCGCATGGAGGAGCGGCAATTGCAAAGAGGCCTCGAGAGACGCCCACGCCGTCTCATACAATTGTGCGGTCGGGAGGTCCGTCACGCCTCCCATGCATAGAAGCCGCATGAGAGCTCGGTCCTCTGGCGCCCGAACATCTAACGGTCGGAACCCCTGTTCGTGGAGTGCGTTAGCCCGTTGGATCAGGACGAGATCGTACCCGCCCCGTAACGTGAGTTCCCCTGAAGTAATTCTGATGCAGGAGGTATAAGCGCTGAGATAGGCGTCAAAGATTGGTTGGGTCAGTTTCTGGGCGCAGGTCCAGTCTATGTGGCCCGCTGCACCAGCGACGTCCAGGATCTGCTCCATGAAATGCAGGTCAAATGCCCGGCGGTGGCATTTCATGTCCATCAGCTTTGACAGGGAGGCGGGGCTGTTTTCAGCCTGTGCGAGCTGCCCGAAATTCAAAGACGCACCCAGCTCTAAGCCGCGTAATACATCAGCCTTATCATCGTGCGACAGTCGGTCAAGACAGCCGACAAGACCGACTTGGACTGCCTTCAGCAGGATCAGGTCATGACTGAGTCCAGAAATATCATGGCCGGTTAAACGGAAATAGTCATGGGCTAGAAACGGGTCCTTTCCTAGATCGTTGATCACGATAGAAATGATGAGGGCAAGAAGACCCCCGTGCTGCATTAATTCTCGGTAGAGATCTTGGATCCATGTAAATGACCGGTGAGATAACTTCATCGCAGCCGGCTGGTTTCCCACGAACGATTCGTATTGTCCGTTATGGATCCACCGCAGCGCGAGAACACTGACCAGGGTGCGGTTGACTTCGTCATAATCTGATCCCAAAAGTATCTGAGACGGGGATGGTGTGGAAGAGACATTGACTGACGAGCCTCGGATAGAATATGCTCGCTTCAGGCGGTCAATTTCATCTGTGAAATTTCGGTAGATTAGATGCAGAAAGTCATGCTCTGGAATGGTAAACAGAGCCGCTGGATCGACACAGTAAGCCTCAAGCATGCTTGAGGACATGACTCGTGTCATCTTAGTGGGCAACAAGCGCTGTTCCAAAGTGCGCGAGAATTGATTACTTATTTAAACCGGGGGGAAACTTGAAAGCGGGACACGTGTTGCCTATCAACTTGACGTCTTTTACGAGCCTCATACTCATTGCTTCGCCTCCTCAGGGTTACTCAGCTATCGTCCGTACTCTCAAAGCCACCGCCGACACGTCGTTTGGACGGAGTGTATTACCATGTCATTGAGATACCATTGAATGCTCTTATATGTCGTGTCGTGATAATTGGTCAGAGGGCTTTCCAACCGCCTAAGCCCGGTTCTGCAATGCGCACTGCGGAGTACGAAATGTGCTGGCGGTCCGTGTAACCCAGCTTCATGGTGCATGACAATATCTCCGCTTCCTATATATTTCTAATTCCCAGCCCCATTCAGTATCTTTCGCTTGTCTCCGTTCCTTCAAAATCTGGTCACCCATGAAAGGAAAATGCAATATCCATGGGCTTCAGTGCGCTACTGGCAGCCGTTCCGCATTGACGCCCTTGGTCTTATTACACTCCTAGGCGCCGAGGACATCAATGTGTGGGTCGGCCGTCTATCACAAAGCAAATTCACTGAATATATGCCCTTCCTCGCCGGATTCATTATCGCCGGCGACCGTTTTCGGATACCAAACCAGTCCTTCCATTTGTATAACATCACCAAGGGGGTTTACACCCATGAGCTGGCCGCCTGGTTTACCCGCTGGGTCCAATGCCAGAAGTTCGAGACCACTCGGAGCATTGTAAACTGGGAGGTTATCTCGACGCCCAGGCAGAGAATTCACGAGACTGCTCTCGCGGCCCTCCTCGCCGCCGTTCTGCTGGGGTTCCCCCTCGCGTTGACAATCCTCTCTGGTGATTTCTATGGCCTCGCGAACGCCCTGGCACTAGTCGTGATGGTTATGGGCCGAGCGTACATGATCCACCTCAACCGCCGAGCGATCGATCGCTCGATATTGCGTCTGGCGCCATCCGCCGCCGCGAAAAGTTCAAAGACCATCGTGGTGACCCCCAACTCCAAGGTGGTGACCATGTTCATACCGTCGGAGTTGATTGTTCCGGTCTTCGCGCGGAACCCCCAGGTGACTCCAGCCAAGGGCTATGAGTGTGCCCAGTGGATTAGCTGGGCCGCGTTTGCGGTCCATGTTGTCGCTCTAGGCATGGCCTGTCTAGCGACGCAGATCTATACCGTCGTTTTAGTCATCGGATCTTCCATCTTGCTCTGCCACGGCTGGGGATGCGACGATGTTGTGGATCTTAGGCGGCGGCGCGACTCGGACGGGAATGTAGTGAGAAGAGCGTACACCTGCTTGATCGGATCCCGTTTGAAGGCAACAGTCTTTGAATGGCCTGCCGACTTTGAGTTTAGACAGCTATCGCCGAAGTCCTGGGCACTTCGCGGGAGCTCTAATAACCCTGCCTTGGAGGACGAGCGCTCCGCCAGACGTATGGATCTTTATGCGTGGCTGGATCTATCCAACGAAGAAGAAAACAGCCTAGTGAAGTGGGATCTTATTCCGCACCATCGCAATGGAGACGGCTCTTGGGACACTGAGTTCAAGGCCAAGCAGAAATTAATCCGGGAACTGCAACCAAGCATCCTGCAAATCATGGACGATGCAATCAATCATAGGAACAACAACAATCAGCGACGAGAGAAGCTCGCTTCGGATTGTGAGGCCATCATTGAGATAAAAGACTCTGGCTCAGTCAAACAATGCGAAACCCAGACGCGCCAACGCCCATCATCAGGGGGTATCTGCTGAGGCTGTGTAAGAGGAAGTCACGTCAATGACAAGGTCTATATTACAAAGAATGCTTCATGCTTGGTCCAGAGTATAGTAGCGAGCATGAGCAGGTCTGACTACTTGGACTGTTTCTATATTTGTCTCAAATTTGCTAGGTCTTGCTTTTCCAGTGTCTTGGCTCGTGGATAAGTCGCAGCTTCAGTGATTGCTACGTGTTCTGAATCTAGAAGAACCGTGTAAGCGAAATAAGCAAATAGAGTAGATCAAAATAGTAACACTGAAGACACATGCGAAATGAGACGGACATTAACTATAGAAGTAGCCTTTATTTATGTTCTAAATGAATGTAGAATACCTTTGATTATTTATTATCAATGGCCCTTAAAACACCTTTCTCTAAGTGCAGCTGGAAACCCATTAGTGTTAAACATAGCATGAGGTAATGGCTAAGAAGATTATCAGCCCTTGTCTTGCTGACGTCCTCATAAGTCAAAGGGTTGTATCATAGATCTGCAGAAGGATTAGTTTATATACACTTTAGAGAGCCCATGCCATTCATGTGTATACAGTGTATTACAGTGAGCAAGCAAGAGCTGCTCCGGGATTGCTAACTAAGCAATTCATTACTGGCTTCAAGAAGAATGGAGAGCAGTTATATACTGCTATACCTGCTAATAAAACCACTCCTTTCCAAGTTTGCTAGAGTCTATAATCATTAATAGTTTCATATCTATTCTTAATGATTTTAATAATAATCTTCAGCAAGTTTTCTACCTATTTATAAATCAGAACATTCTCTCTATTCTTCTTTTTTGGCTTTACTAATCTGAAGGATGCACATGTGAAGTGGACCCTAGAATTAAATTTATGTTAGTGGCTATGTACATATTCATTGCATTATGGGGCAGTATTAAAATAATGTAGAGGATGCTGTGCTGTGACAGGCAGTGGATAGTTATATCTTCCTAGATGACAAATTCCGGAAATCAACAACAGTAATGACATCAGCACTCTCTAAGCGTTTCAGTTTGTCCGCGGGTCTAGACCGTCGCTATTACTTCTCTGTACACTTTTGTATAGCTACCTCGGCATCCCGATGTAGCAATATAAGTACGTTGGTTCCCACAGAACTCTCAAACATACGCAAAATCATCCATATCCTGTTTTGTTTCATTTTGTCACGCACCACGATTCAATATGTCATCAAAGCTTTTCCCCGGGGACCCCTCGAGGGTGATGGTAATCCGCAAAGTCACTCCAGAAATCACCACATTCAGCGTCCCCTTCTCCAGATTCGGGCTCTTGAAATTCGGAGGCCGAGGCACACTAGGTAACACACTTATATACCCTCTACGGATCCCACCACTAACAGATCCCAGTAAAACTACGCACCGGCTCCCTGGCAATCATCTCCCCAGTAGCCTTAACCCCCGAAGTCCAAGACGTCATTGCCTCCGAAGGCGGGAAAATCAAATATATCATCGCCCCAGACATCGAGCACCACCTACACATCACCACCTGGAAGCGCGCCTTCCCCAACGCCCAAATCCTCGCCCCAGAAGGCCTCTACGAGAAACGCCAAACCTCACCGTCCTACAGCGAGGACCCCACCTTCGACCATATCTTCACCAAGGACGGCAAACACTCGCTCAGCATCTCGGACGAGTTCCACGCGGATTTCGAGGTCGAGTACATGGACGGCCACGGCAACCGCGAGATCGTCCTCTGCCATAAACCATCGCGGACACTCATCGAGGCGGATCTGCTGTTTAATCTGCCCTGTGAGGAACAGTATGCGCGCTCGGAGGAGTCACCGACAGCGGGGCTGCTGAGTCGGGTGTTTATGCCGTTGCTGCAGGCTAGGGCGAGCCCGCCGACGGGGCATCGCCGGTTTGCGTGGTATGTGTTGTCGAAGCAGGATCGGGCGTCGTTTGCGGAGTCGGTGAGGAGGATATACGCCTGGGATTTTGACCGTGTCATTCCGTGTCATGGGGATGTTATTGAGGATGGGGGGAAGGAGGTGTTTCGGAGTGTTTTTGAGTGGTTTTTGGAGAGATGAACTGATGCTAGGGTTATTGTATTATTGATGTTGTCGGATACCCGATGTACTATAGCTTGTTGCATTAGCATGTTTATAATTGACCTCATGTAATGACCCTCGAGTTAATGCAGAATGCGACCAATCGTTCTGGCATGCTCCGAAGCCACAAAGCTAGTGGAGGTCGAAACCAGCTTTTTATGACTCATTCTGCAGCAACACGAACACGACTAACGATATATATAAAGACTGAGAAAATCCTTATCACGTCGACAATCGACTTTATTTTTGCTATTTAAATCAAACCATCCACCATGTCCTCCACCGTGACGACTTCTCCCGACGGCAAGAAACAATTCTACGCAACGTCCTCCCCCTACGAAGGCATAATCGGCTACTACCGCGCCGTCCGCCACGGCAACCAGATCTTCGTCGCCGGAACTACAGCCGTAGACCCTGAATCCCCCGCCTCCGCTCCCCGGATCTTATTCCCCGGCGACGCAAAGCAGCAGACCATCGTCGCGTTGACCGAAAGTGTCAAGGCGGTTAAAGCGCTCGGGGGCGAAGGAGCGAGCAGCATTGTACGTGTCAAGATGTTCGTTGCGCGCTCGGAGGATTGCATGGCTGTCGGTGAGGGGTTCCGGGAGGTGCTGGGGAAGCAGCAGGGCAATGGGGTTGGGGCTGTGGCGACGATGATTGTTGTGCAGAATGGGTTTGTGAACGGGGATATGATGGTTGAGGTGGAGGTTGATGCGATTGTAGATAGTTGAGAACAGAATTCGACGTCTTGTATTTATGCTTGTGGGGGCTACTATGCTATCGTCTCCTTCACCTGTCTAACGAGCTCTTCGACCGTCTGCTCAAAGCTGCGGTATTTCACTCCCAGCTCTCTAGTCACTGCCACTCCGTCCAGCTTGTACGTCGGCCCGGGCCTCTTCCCAGCCTCATAGTTCGTGGTCACTGTTTCCCGCGCCCACTCGAACTTCTCCTTGATGATATCTGCCGCATATTCGTAGCAAAACGGCTCCCCGGACGCAGGGACGTATCTCTTCCCACCAGCTTCTGGTCTCAATAATGCCTGGACGTGCACCTCAGCGAGATCCCTCACGTCAATCCAGGCAGAGACTCTGGCGGCAGGCAGCGGATCAGCGCCGGCCGCGACACTCCACAAAACAGCGTTGGATTCATTCAGCTGCGCAATGCCTGCCACGGGATGTACGATCGGCCCAAACACCATTGGCGGACAGAGGGTGACGAGGTCGAAAGCCGGCTTCTCTCTTTCGATAAAGTTCCAGGCTTCGAGCTCGGCGAACTTCTTGGAGCCTCGGTATGCTATTACGGCGCTGGTGGCAGGGTCGACGCTTTCTTCATACGTGATTGGGTTCCAGTGGGCGCCGGTGTAGGTGAAGTCCGGCCCTGGATTCTTGGATACGTCAATGACAGAGGCGAACGAGGATGTCAGTACCACTCGTTTGACTCTGCTTCCCGGTTTGGCGGAAGCGGCGAGGATTGATTTGACGCCATTGATGGCGGGGAGGATGAGCTCCTGCTCGTTGTTTGTGGTATTATAGGTAAATGGCTGGCGATTGGTTAATGGGCCTGTATAGAATTGGCAGGGTGATAGACATACACTGGCAACGTGAATGACCGCGTCAACTCCTTCCATGGCATGGTCAAACACCCCCAATTTGGAGAAATCCTCGATTTGAACAAACTCAAGCTTGGAGGCATGTTCCGGCCGAGCAGCTACCATCTGCTCGCCCTTGGACAATGACCGTGTGGCCCCGCGCACGGCGATGCCTCGAGCCAACAGGCTGTCCACCACATGGGCCCCAATGAAGCCAGTGGCTCCTGTCACTAGCACTCGTCTAGGCTTATCAGCGACATGTCCGGTTAGGGTTGAGTTTCAACAAAGTAGGTTTTCTTACGATGGCAGCTGCACGGACATGGTAATTGTGTCAACTCACTCGTACGTATTTTCGTTACCCTGAATGCTGATGAATCTGTCTCATCGCGCCCTTTGAATGATCAATGCGGGGAAGCGGCGATCGCTCGGCATTGCGCTCGGAGCTGGTCCGAGGTTCCGACAGAAATGAAGACCAAAAGACACACTAGTAGGGAAGACCGTCGGAACTCGGAATAATTGTCATTGAGTAGAATTCACTCTATGCAAGGTAACCAACATCATGAAAGGTTAGACACATCCACTGTATATATGATCTATATGTTGTACATTACTGGTGGCGTTAGATCGTGATGTAATGCGAATACGGACTACCCAGTCAGGCCATTACTGCTGCTTGTGGAGCACCTCTTCGGTTGTTTGAACCAGAATCTCAAACGCGCGCCGGAGGTACTTCTCCTCGGCTGCAGGGTTGGCGCTTACCACCCTGATGGCGTATACACCTGCAATGACAGACGAGGTGATGAAAATCTCACCCCGGGAATTGACGAGCTCGTATACCTCCTTAGTTATGGCGTTTGAAGCGTCGTCAATCTGAGGCACCGAGGACTCATGATTTGGTTGAAGCTTGGGGCTCTTGATTCGGAAGACAGTCAAGCAGAATGCAGGTTTGGTGATGATCTCGAATAGATCCGATCGGCTGCGTATCAGGTCGGCAAAGATGTTACCGAGTCCAATGGTCTTGCGAATGTAGGCTTTCATGCCGCTGAGCCCATAGCTGCGCATGACAAACCAAATCTTCAGTGCGCGGAATCGCCGACCAAGAGAAATGGACCAGTTGCGGTAGTCGATGACCCGGCCAGTCTCGGAGTAGGGGTTGCGCAAGTAGGCGGGAGTAATATCGAGGGCGTCTGTGAGGTCAAAGCGATTGCGTACATATAGACAGCTACTCATGTTAGCAATCCCATATTCGAAGGAGCTCCTTGGTAGTACCTTGCGTCAAAGTTCACAAGCAACCACTTGTGCATGTTCATATTGAAACTGTCAACACCTTCCGCAAAGTCCTTCGCGATATACTGCCATTCGTCCGCAACAAGCGCAGCACCGGCGTAGGCAGCGTCGATATGTACCCAGATTCGCTGCCAGTGCGGCTTCTCCTTCAGTACAGCCTTTATCTCCGCAAAGCGATCCAACGCGCAAGTGTTGGTCGTACCCATGCCAAGCGTGATGTAGTAAGGGGTGAGCCCATCCTTGTCGCACTGCTCGAGTACCTCTCGTAACCGTGGTCCAGTCATTTCCATATTGTCCTCTAGCCGCGCAGTGACGCTGCGATACCTCGTTCCAGCAAGCAGTGCGCCTTTCGCGGTGCTGCTATGTGCCTGATTACTACCCAGTGCCACCAGTCTCGGTCTCAGCTCCATCACTCGATCCTCATATTCGACGGTTCCGTCCTTGAGACCCTCGGCTAATGCCTGTTCGCGCACCCTCCTCTCACGAGCAGCGATCATCACCGTCGCGACTGCATCACTAGCAGTGACTTGAATGACACCACCTCCCTTGTTTTCCGAGCTGCTCAAGAAGCATTCCGGGAGACCCAATGCCTTGGCCATCCAATCCATTACGATCGTCTCCAACTCTGTACAAGCAGGGGAACAGAGCCAGTTGAAAGCGGGGGCGGTGAAAGCGGCCGAGTACATCTCACCCAAGATGCTGGGGTACGTCACACCGGCCGGAAAGAAAGCCATGAAGTTGGGAGATTGCCAGTGAGTCAGGCCCGGCTTGATTTTTGTCTCAATATCTGCCTGGATCTGGGACCATTGCTCTGGTTCTTCCGGAGGATTCTCGGGAATCAAGGGGCGAAGGTAGCCTGGTTCAATGGTCGGAACAACACGCTGGGAGGGAAGACCGTCGAAGTAGTCGATGACTATTAAACGAAATTTTTAGCACGGAATTGAAAACCATAATGCAGACCACACACTTTCGTCGATCGCCGCATGCGCAGCGGCCCTGAATTGGTCGCGATCCATCTGCGCTGCTGCAAGAGAAGTTTCAGTAGGAAATTCCGAGTCTTCCGAGCAAAGTTCCAAGTTGAGGGCAGGATATGAGCCAATGAGCGGGGAGGTTGAGTATCTGACTGACAGAGACGAAGGCAGAATGTCTCTGAGACACAGAGAGTCTACAGCGAGTTCTTTTTGAAGAATCGAGGATTGCGAAAGGAGAGAAGGTTTAAAAAGAAAAAGGCAGAGGACCCCTCCATGGCGGGACGAAGACTGTCAGGCGGGATCATTTCCGCAGTGGAGATATGTAACGATACAGTATCACAGTACTATAAATTACACCGAGGCTCCCCAAAGGGGAAGAGCAGTCCTTAGGGCTCGTTCAAAGAACAATGGCCGGGGATTAGCGACTGATCACTGAGGCTCTTTGATCAATCTGCTTTATCTCAATCTATGTTCTACAATGATGACTTCTTGCTTTCACTGGTCGAGTGGAGCAATGAAAATGGGATGTTTTAGCTGATTCGAAACACCCAAACGACTGACAAAGAGCTCAAGAGACTTGGCTGAATAATGAGACTTCAGCATTCTTTGCAATTTGCCTACATAAGAGACCAGTATAAGACATTACTTTGTAAATTTGCCTCTTATTCATTGGTGTCTCTGATCTAACCTTGTCATCGTCTGCAACGCAAGGACTGCCCGCAAGACGTTTGATAATGACCAGTGAGCTGTCTTAAACATAAGGAAAGCTCTTTATATAGAAGGCTATATAAGGAGATGAGAAACTTCGTCGAGATGGAACTCATCAAACATTCCTCGTTCCTTCCTAATTCCTTAATTAACCATACTGCGCAACGAGAGAACTTCACAGCTAGCGACTTACTGAACCACCATGAGCACCATGGAGATTGACCAGGTCAGGCCAGAGCGCCATGACATCGCCCCGGATGGCGATCTCATTCTGCTTTACAAGAAGCATGCAAACAGGCCTGTCGAGTTGCGAGTCTCGACTACCATCTTGAAATCCCAGTCGATCTACTTCAAGGGCTTGAGTGGTAGATGGCTCGAGACCCTTCCTGTCCGGCCGGACGGACTGCCCGAGATGGCCTTTGACAGACTCGATCCGGATGCCATGCTGATCATCATGAAGGCTGCGCACTTGAAGTTTCAAGGGATCCCGGATGAGCTGAACGTGAAGCTGCTTCACAAGATTGCCAAGTATGTCCACATGTTCGATATGTTCCCAGCTGTTTGTACTCTGGCTCGCCCCTGGATCCAATACGTAAGGATGTTTGTTGACCAATGCAACAGTACAGAGCTTGCGGGTTACCTTCTGGGAATCATGTGGGTGTTCAACCTCAAAGAGCAATTCAAGAAGGCAACCCGGTCCATAATCGTCGATTGCAATGCAGTCGATATCGACTTGTCTAGGACACTCATTGACCAGAGCATGTTCGGTAAGTGCCCATTTCCATCTTCTTTTGCTTCCCTCATAACCTTGGACATATTGACTAATAGACTGAATAGATGATCTCCTGGCGATACGGCACGAACTGATGCGCGATATGAGTTCTTTGATACAGTCAAAGCTCATCGCGCCGCTCAAACAGGGCGAGAAGAATGACAAAGCCATCTGCCATAGGGAATGCGATCCTCACATACGCATTCATATGCAAGTGTTGATGGACGCCCCTTCAAATAAAGAGACCAAGCCGTCGAGGATTGTGGAGGGGTTGCGGTTGCTGTCAGACGATCGCAGATTCTACCATAATTCGAGTCGTGACCCTCTTGAGGGATTAAGGAAGCCCCTCTGTATCGGGCGGTTGAGCAATGTCATTTCGCAGCTTGACAGAATGCTCGAGAAGGTGGAAGGCTTCGACCTGGCAGACTGGCGGCCAGAAGCCAGCCAGGAAGTGGTCTGGGGTGATGATGTCGAGCCGGAACTGCGCTTGGACTGGCCCTACGACCAGAAATTCAACTTTGACTCGGACTACGAGCTTAGTCCGGGATCGAGCGCATCGCCTCCGCCTGGCAAGGGTGGGAACGAGTGATCATCCTATGAAGATAGGTTTGAAGATGGATAATAGAGATCGTCTGAGAGACTGTGAGTGCTGAATTGTGTTTGGTCTGTCTGTTTTGTTCTGACTGGATTTGTGATCATCATTTGTCATCTTCCAGTTGTTTCCCCGCACTTGTTGCTTCCTTTTATTGCGATCATTTCCAGGGAATACAGGTCAGTTCCATCGCTTTGGCAGTCCATCATCTTCATATCTTCTACTTGAATTTTCTAGACTTTCTCACTAACTTATCAGAAACTATCTCAATATGCCTCGAGCCAGAGCAACTATCGATGGGACCGTTCTCGCCGAGTCCGACAACTGGGAGACAGTCGAAGGCAATATCTATGTAAGTCCCTTCGTCAGTAATTTTGATCATCAAGATAAGATTTTAGCAATAGTAAATCTTGTTTGAAAGGGTATAATTAATATGTGATGACTGTAGTTCCCACCATCAGCTGTAAACAAGTCGCTTTTCACTCCAACGGACTTGTCGACTCATTGCTCCTGGAAGGGAGACGCTTCATACTACACGGTAACCGTCGGAGGTATCACCTTTTGCAATCATTATATCATTTTCGATACATTAGAAAAATGACGCTCCGTACAATAGATAAAACATTTCCGAATGTGGCGTGGTACTACGCCCAGCCCTACGACAAGGCGAAGAATATCAAGGACTATGTTGCTTTCTGTCAGTCCCTTGTACCCTGTCATTCCTACTGGAAGGCTTGAATTGACGATTTTCGCTGGCAGACAAGGACAAGGTGGATATCAACGTCGAGTAAGATAGGATAATTGGTACTTGATGTATGGTGCAGTCGATTTGAGCTTATAAACAATGAACGAATCTGTTATATGATACACACCATCCTCAAGAGCTCTTTCCATTCCCATTTTCGCCTTGTGATTCATCCTCACTCCCACTCTCGTGATCATAGTGCTCGTCATACACTTCCTGGTCCAAATCTCGACCCTTGATAGTCAACTTCTGCATCGGCAAGAAGACAAACAACATCCGACACCACTCCGTATCACTCCGGTTCCTATACGAATGTGCCGTTCCTCGCTGGATACTCACATCCCCACGCCGCAATGTCCGACTCTGCCCAGAATCCAGGATCAAGTCGACCACTCCCTCCAGAACCACTCCGTAGTCAACGCTAACCGTTCGGTGCATGGGAGTCGTCTTTCCCGGACGCAGATCGATCGTTCGTAGGACCGTGCCAAGCGAAGTCGTCAGCCCAGGCGAGGTATGGAGGTACTCATCGTAAGCCTGGACGTCAGTTTCGTCGTCCACAGAAACAGGATTGGATACTGTTGCGTAGAGAAGAGCGATATCCCCATCGTCGCTGATCGGTTTTGAAGGGATGTATTCTGGGATTTGAGAGTGGGAGATGAAGACCGACTCGCCCTCGGTGCTGTGGGTGGTGATGTACCGTTTGGTGGTGGGGAGGCTGTTCGAATCTTGTGACATCCTCTGCTGCTCTGACCGCGCTTATTGTAGTTTTCACAACTTGGACGGTTGAGATGTCTTTCCTGCGATTTCTGAGTTGATATGATGGCGGCGACCGGATCGTAATAGATACATCATCGCCCAAAAGGGAGTCAGGTACGGTATCCGATGGTTCATGTTCCTAGAATAAGTGTATCCATGGTAGCTGTATCAACTACACGGCAGCGTGGCATTTGTCAATTCGGTCAACAAGTCCGTCCAGTCTGGTGTACCAAAATTCAAGTCCCCGCCACTGTCAAGCATCTCCGTCCATATATCTTCGAGTGGCCGCTCTTGACTCTCATTTTGATCAATGCCAAAACTAGGGTCTGCGGACGAATCATCTTTCTTATCAATCGCGTTTGCCGAGTTTTGATAAGAAACGATTTGCGCTGGCTCTGCAACAGCGGTAGCAGCCAAGGCAGGCGATGATGGTAAATTCGAAGGCTGTCCATCGGTGGACTGCTTGCCACTTTTCCAGTGCTTTTGCAGCACGTCCATCATGGCCTGAATACCCTGGCTAACCAAGGACGATGTTCGTTGAGCCCTGGTGAGCATACGACACGCATCAAGCACCTCTTGCTTCCTCTTATCAGCCAGAAGGTCATCCCAGTTGAAGCACACATCCATCAAAAGAATCACTGCAGCCATGAAGACGTGATGCATCACAGACCAGACAGCGGATGTTGGCGGCATGAACTTTGGTTCGTCCTCGTCCATGATTCTCTTGATCTCCAGCACTTTACGCGCAGACTGAAGGCAGATTACATGTGAATACGAATACGCGGGCTCTCGCGCTCCCCGGATAAAGTACAGACGGTGCAGCCGGCAGAAACGCGAATGATAAGCTTGCTGCAAAAGACACCTCTGCCATGCAATTGTCGGCTGGCTACGATAGAGGGGTGCGAACCGACGCCTGGAGACATTATCGAGCCGATAGAATTCCGGAAGATTGTTGTACGCTTGATGCAGCTTGCGGTCCAATTCGAGAATTTTGTCGTAGCTTACGTCGATTCCACGCATGTGTTCGTAGGCCGTCATGTCCACTATTTCGCGACATACGACTGCCAGGTTAAGTCGCTGAAGAGTGTAGGACATCTGCGTTGGCTCTGACATTGGCGATGGTGTGGCGGCTGCTCTGCCCTTGATGTCTTCATCATCGATATTCAATGGTTCTCGGACATTCATGAGCTGGGGGTTAATCAAATATGTCCACTCCTGGGGACCGCTCAAGAAACCTAACAGCCTGCAGAAAGAATTAGCCCGATTCTATCCCGTCGCATGGCGAAAGCGTACCAATCAAAACTCGCTATATCCCACCACAGTCGTCTCTTTAGTTCAAGCTCAAGTGCGTCGAATCCATTCGCTTCCCTTTCTTCTCGGCAACGGGACGAGTCAATGCAATGCAGCATGAGACTTTTTGCCTGACCAATGATCGTCGCGTGTAGAAACAGTGAGCAGACCGATGAGTGGAAACTTGGATTAGGCAGATAGTGCATGATAATGAGCGACGCCTGTAGTCCCTCAAGGGTAGGACATGCAATGTAATTGCTCCTTATCAATGCGGCACCGGTTAAGAAAATGAATTCGCGGCTACATCTCTCTGCAAAGGTAGACAGACCATTGGAATACTGGAAATAAACAGAGCTGGCCAAGATGCTGAACAATAGCGGTAATTGGGCTAAATTGACCGGTAAGCCTTTGTCGATGCAGTGGTAGATGCAATTGATTTGATCTTCCACGCGCGACGGAATGATGACATGATACAGATAATCGATGTATTGACAATAGTATCTGAACAATGCCATTGTTTCCGACATCTTTGGAAGGTAAAACACAAAATCGACCGTCATCGGATTTTCACTCGATGCCAACCGATGCCGAAAGAAATCTGGGACCACTTCACCGAGGCATGAATCTCCATTGTCCCTGAGTGGGCCATGAGCGGCTTCAAACTGGCTCACTTCGTCCTGCAGATGCCTCGAAGCTACAGTTGGAACTCGATCTGACATGACGATGTTTTCTAGCCAGTCCGCTGTTTTGACCGATTCATTACTCGTTCGCGTTGGTCGAGGATTCGTGATAGAAGGAGCAGTAATGGCGCCAGCCTCGTTCGACTGGTCTTCAATACCTTGAATTGATGGAGCAGTGTTAGTGTGGCTTGCATTTCCTACTTCGTCTATCGCAGGTTCGATCCTGTCCAGCGATATACCATAGCTGCAGGACAGTCTTCGGGTAACACAGCTGCTGCATGGTCGCTGACGATTGCATTTGAGCTTCTTCCGCCGGCAAGATTCGCAGGACACTGGATCTTGTCTGGGAGGCCTTTTTGCCCCTGTATCGGATAAGTTTGGAGCAGATTTGCGCTTCATATTCTTTATTGTGATTGTTGAAATAATTGAGGGTCCGTTGTAGCAACAAGCCGTAGGTCCCGAACCTTATTTGGCTATTTTTTCGGTGTCATGCTAGCTTATTACTCTGACATTTGATGCAAAATAGACGTTGGATGGTTTCTACGGAAAGGAAAGGGAAAGACAAGAGGAAAAGAACAAAAACAAAAGATGTTGGACCGCTTCAATTTGATTACGTCATCTAAACGAAACACGTTTCCTCCTGCTTGTATTATTTATCTTAGTTAACAATTGAATTCTGCAATCAAGAGAGATAACAATCTAAGCATTGAGTCTAGTCAAGTATCATTAAGCTGGAGGCGAGAAAAGAGATTGACCCACGGAGGCATCGTCTAGTCGATGCGTCTAGGTAGAAAGCCATACCCACTTATCAAAGCATATCAGTTGTGAATATTTCCCTTAAGTAATCACTTCTCAGATTCTTTATTCTATTTCTGGACTTGTTGAATAGTTAGTAATTATCATTTGGTATCAAGGTTGCGTAATATTCCACTACTTCATTAGTGAAGCTCTTCCAGTAACTCTTTTAATCAGTATGTGGATGATTTAATAGTAGGTGTAGTGGTTAGCCAGATCTGAGCAGATAGGGATACAGTTGCTTAGAATTGTGCAGGTCCCATTTGTCCAGCTGGATCGTAACAGGCAGATTGGGTCTTGAATGTCCGGACACACATAGATGGCCTTGGTAACTCCGTATTGGAAAACAGTAGTTAACTGGCGAGTTTGGTTAATTGCCAAGACCACTAACAAACTCTGGATAGCCGCACATTCCGCTGATCTGATCCCCATTCTTTCGCGTCTGAGGTCAGCCTTACTCATCCCGTCAAGACCCGCGTGAAACCAGCCGTATCTACAAAACGCTACATCCGTAGCGATGATTCAGCAGTCAGCAGATGCCTCCCAACAACAGTTCGTATTCGTCGGGGGCCCCGTCCTCAAGAAGGAAGCCAGCCGTCTGCGGTCAACTCTCGTGAGACAGGCGCTCGCCCAGAAACGATCGCAAAGATGGCAGGATGCGGCGAACAAGTTGGATTCAATGTTAGCTTCAAGGCGGGAAGACAAGAGCATCGACCAATGCACATGCCGCTCGACAGCAGCCGGCGAGGGTTTGAAGAAACCATATCCTGATTTGCTGACGGTTGACGGCTCTCGGCTCCCCGTATTGATCAATGATCCCAGGAACACCGACCAACGGCCTCGGCTCCTTCCGGCCCAATTGAATTGTTGCTTGACGTGCGGACGGCTCCAGCAACCGTCTCCAGATGGGTCCCACGGCCAGCTGCGGAGTTATCCCAACCCTACATTGCTCGGCGCATATCGCTCGAATCCCTTTCTACCCATGGATGCTACTGCCGCTAAGCTCAAAGCAACCGAGCTGCTGGATTTTGCCGCGACTACAATCTGGCCGCATTTTCGGCCCGTGGACTACACTGGAAATGGGTATCGGTCATGGGCTTTTCCGATGGAGGACAGGATGCAATTATATGCTGTCTTATACGCAGCATCGTGCCACCGGGATGTGCTCCGCATCACGTATGGTGCGGAAGATCCCATCTTAGACTCCAAGGAACGGATGGAGATCAGAGGGCTGGCCCTTCGGACGTTGCGCATGCAGGTCGCTAAACTATCTGAACTCACATCTCCAACAACCCGCCTTGACGGAGTCATAATGTGTATACTGTACCTGGCAGTACATGAACTTCATAAGGGGAAAATGGCTCGTGATCGTAGCTTGTTTACTCCTCCTTTCAGCCGCCTGCAGGCATTAGATGTTTATGGCGGTGGGATATATCATCCGTTACATTGGAACACAATGCAGGAGATAATCCAACGATCGGGTGGAATTGAAAAAATCGCGACTGCTCGGCTGATTTGGCTGCTCAGTCTGTCTGACCTTTTCGGCGCTTTCCGGGTTATCCGCAAGCCAATCTATCCGATGATGACTGTTGCAGGGAGGCCGTTGGCTCTGGAGCGTCCCGGGCTGCTGTTCCAACCACACGGATACCATGATACTCGTTCAATCCTTCTCTCGCCAGGCTTCGGATTTCAGGTACTCTCTTCCATCTGGCCGCCAGTGAAGCAGGATATAGCTGCGGTCTTCATCCATCTAGGCGAATATTCCGCCGTCGTCCAACACTACGCAAGCACTAAATGCGACGACGTGGTTCTAGATCTATTAGGCGACAGCAGGAACCTCGTCCACCATTGCCTACTCTCTCTACCAGACGAGAGCGGACCCTCTGAGCTCATCTTCGAACTGCCGGATTCTCATCAGACCACGGATACAGAATCCGAGCAAAATAAGCTATCGCTTTTGCTCTCTCAGCAGATATACCACACCTGTCGTCTCAGCGCCCTGCTGTACGCATTGCACATTACATTCCCGATCCCCCATTTTCGGGCGCCGGCGCAATCTATCCTCAGTGCCCTTGTACCGCGAATTGAATGGTTTCGTGCGCGCAATGTCTCACAGCCGGTGCTTGTTTGGTGCCTGGCTGTAATACTTAGTGTGCTAGGCGAGAACACCCCTGAATTCGAGGGTTTGGTCTCATATATGGTCTCAATGGCTCGGGAGGAAGCGGCGGTCGACTCTGTGCCCACGCTTTTGGCATTCCTTCGATCCTTTGCCTGGGTGGATGCAGCCGTAGGAGATGACTGGACAAATCTGTGGGAGAGGATATTTCATCGAGGGAATACTAGATTTCATCATAAATAGGCAGACAGAGATAGATTAAATACCCTTTCAATATGCACCTAAACTGGAATCGTTAGGATTGAAAATGCAACCTGGAGAAAATGCTACGCCTTTCTGCTACTTGACCCACCCCACCTCAAAAGGATTGGCTATTACGCCTGCTAAGCAAAGACTAGCATTAACCTAGCAGTGAGCCATACCCCTGGAAGACACGCTAAACCTACCTTGGAAGCAGGATTGTCGCCGCTGATTGGAGGATGGCTGAACAACGTGAAATTTCTGCTAGGTAACCAGATTTAACACAGCATACAACATAAACCTCATTCACATGTCAGGTAAGCCTTGGCCATTTGGAACCGAAAACCATTCATAGCAAATAAAAGTGTAAGAGTAAGGAAAAAGAAGTACATTGCAGTTGATATCGGCCTTTGTATTATGTATGAAACTATATCCTAAGAGCGCGTATTTCTCAATCATGTCATTCGGCCCGGTCTAAGTACAGCGAAGAACGATTAAGGCTCCTGAGCAGTGACAGTTTGTGTCGCCCGAAATATGGGACTGTTAGTTAGCTCGAGAAGGTGCTAGCGCGTTCCTGTGAGCCAGTATGGTCTGGGGTATTGCGACCCTTGCGCCGTTCGCGGGACCGAGGGTTTAGTTAGCTTCCTTTCGTCAGTTCTCTAGCTAGTAGCCATTCATATGATCATCTTCGTTTCTCACCAGCTTCATGAAAGCATGCCACAGATCAGTGCTGATCTATCGTACTTACCTACAGAAGTTCTAATTGAGATATTCATTTGCCGTAATTTGTTAGATCAAATGTGTCTCTCCCCTGACTTGTAAGTGGATGCTCTTACTATCAACAGGCCCGGTGCAGGTCGATTTGGATCTGAGAGAGTTGAGTATGGAGATCTACTACTTAAAGATATCCTCTTCGCACAATCTACAACAAAAGCAGGCAGGTCAAACCGGCACCTCCATTAGGAAGATTGAGATTGGACAGGAAATACGTCCCTGATCTGCAATGGAATGACACGATTCTGATTTCAATTTCTAATAACATAAAGCACAATCTAGCCTTATAGAGCTCATCCATCATGGTGCATATATGTCTTCGACTCTAAGAGACCTCTGTGACTGCTCCCATTCTTCGATCCCCACCACACCCACCTTGAGAAAGGAGTCATCCTCATCAATACGCTTTCTTAGTGGCCCGTTGAGCAGTTCTGTCACATCCCACTTTGCCCATACAAATCTCCCATGCAAGAACCTTGCCTCGGGAGACGCAGCCCACACAGCAAACTGCCCTGGTAAATTCTCTGCATCGGTGTCAGCGTTGTCTGCATACGTTTAACAGAATCTTCAAAGTGGCGCATGCTACTTACCATCGTCCCATCGAGGGTCATCCTTCTCGAAACCAGCGAGTTCTGCCAGTTCTGTGAAGACACCGCCAGGATGGTAGCTAACTATCTGGAGCTCTTCCGGAGGGACGTCCTTAGCGATCTGCTGCACTAGCATTGTCCCCGCACTCTTAGTGGCTGCGTAGCTTGGGTACTGGCCGGTGAGTTTACTCTCGTGGATTGCAAGAGAAGCCAAATTGATAAGTGCCTGCCCGCCCTCGTCAGCATCAAGTCACCTGAAAGTATACAAGAGTCTGCGCTCACTTTTTGGCGGTCTTTAGCACCTGGCTGCTTGTACAACCGTTCGGTAAAGTCAAGGTGCGTCCGTACATTGATAATGTACTCTTCCCACACCTTGTCCCTGCCTAGGTCGAGAATAGGCTGCGCTGAGAGCTTGGCTGCGTTAAGCACCACGACGTCGACAAAAGTATTGTCGTTTGCTAGGCCATTCCACAGCCGATCGACGGACTCGGCGTCGGCAATGTCGCATCTGAGCCCTACGGTCTGAGTGGAGGGAAACTCGGATGCGAGGCGTGTTGCGGCGGAGGCAACCAAGTTGTCCCGCCGGCCGACGATGATAAGCCTTTTTGCGCTGGCCTGGGCGAAAGCCCGCGCGATGGCATAACCTATGCCCGTGTGGCCGCCCGTGATGAGCACAGTCTTCCCTGCCTGCGAGAGCTCGGGCCGCGACGGCGCGATGGCATGATAGGGAGCATTGTGAACTGTCTGGGTGAAGGCGAAGCCTGGTGGCAAGGTGATAGTAGAAGACATGGTTGTTTTGTCAGGTTGAGGCTGAGAAACTCGAATAGAGACTCTGGAGTCTGAAAGTTGACACTCAAGGAGATATATTGTTAGGGTACAAGGCTATGAGCAAACCATGCACATCTCAAAGGGACATAAGCTCTATTTATGAGTTCCACACTCCCTTTCTTACACTTCCTAGAACCAGCCCTTCAGCGGCGCATCCGGTTCCCGCCACTTCTGTTAACAAAGACGGTGATAGGGGCCACTACAAACCTTCAAATGGTCCATCACGTTGCCAACTCCGCAATAACATGTCAAACACATCAAACTCCGCAACATACTTCAAACTCCGCAAAGCCTCCGCCGGATCCCAGTAAGAACTATATGCGCGATTTTGGAGGCCTGTACTCTCAACGCTGCCCTTGTCCGCACCATTCTCTCGCTTTCGTCTGAATCAAAGGGCCGTTCACCCAATGGCTAGTTACATGGTCAAATGTTGATTGCCGGAACTCGGCGACTACGCTACCGATCCGGTGCCACCTTTCCCTGGATCCCATTAGGGCGCTTAGCCATGAACTTAGCAACTTTGTTATGTCTTCTAACTACGTGGAATCATGTCAACTCGGCGCGAGATTATAGGACGCATATACCCATGGTCTATCCGCAGTCTCCACGAGCCAGTACGAATTTGGCCGCACTTATGTTCTGCTCCAGGCAAAAAAGGGTCAGCACTGCTCCTTGGAGATGCCGTTTCGATCAACTATCGCCCGATAAAACTAGTGAGAGGTGATGGAAATGAGACTGGTATGGAAGTAAAAACTGGCGGAGGTTGCACCGATATTCATCAGCAGAGTACTGGAAAAATGCTTTATTTGCAAAATTTCCGCCGCTAGGAGTCATAAGCTAGATTGGTGGCGTTCACCTTCCGGATCCATCTGTAAGTTATTGTCCTGGCTCTCCGTCCGGCAATGGAGTGGCCGTGTAACGGATCATTATGAGTGGACCTTTGTCCCGTGCTGCGCTAGAATTCGTTATTCTTCTTCACCCCTCAGCCAGCACTACGAGTCACACTGACAGCCTGTGTTGGGACACAGACTTGACTAAGCAGACCATGGATAATATTTGGGACCGTTGATGGCACATGAATACTCATGCTGGTTTCAGGATTGAGATACGACAGGCAGGGGGCTTGGCTGTTCAACCTTCTCTCGTTGTGTGTATCCTGCTCATCCGGTAGTTAGCCAGCGTGACACATATATGGACCTGTCCGCCTAGCAGCATATACGCGGCGCAGAGGGACCCAGGACATCTTTCCCAATATGAGTAAAGGGGACAGGGAGCTTATATTCACCTTTTTCCATCATCGACATGCGTCTTAAGCCTCCCTGTTAGGGCCCCCACCCACCCCCCAACCACTGCTGGATATGACGGCTAGACTTCTTAGTGGATGAGCCTTTGAATCTGCAAAAAAGGGAACTCTAAATCGGTCACAGAGATGATGTCGTAGATGGATGAAGAGGGGATGCACCATCCCCGATAATAAATTGTTCCATCGTCGCAACACCTACAAAGCTACACGCGAACAAGACCAGTTAGTAAGGCACAACCAGAGAAGCTTGGGGACAGTTGGAAGAGGAGGGGTATGAGACTCACGCAGCAAGCATGATCCATGAGAGGGGATCGACATCCACAGGCTTAGCCACCTTGGCAAAGTCCTCGATGAAAAAGTTCTGCACAAATATCTGCCGTTGTCGATGCCACGCGAGGAAGAAGGCGGGGCTGCTATCAGCTCTCCAGAGGGAGCCAGATGCCGTCCACCGGTGCACGCGTACAAAATGTCCCGGGTCAGGCATGTCGGTGTCCTTGGAACCTGACCACTTGAGCAGTGCATAGAAGGCGATAAATGAGTAGCCCATGAGGATGGTCCGTCGGAGGGACTCATTGATGATCCAACTCTGGAGCATACACATTCAAATCAGTCAGGGTGGCCATTAGAGAGCAGAATAAGTGGCGCTAGAAACATACCTCCCACGACTTGGGAGCTCTCTGCCTCACCTCGGCTTCTTCCAGGAGACACATCTCTGCCAAGTTGTCTCTGTATTGTTCGAGCTCGAGGAGCCATGCTTCGAGAATAGTCATATCCCGCTCTGCCTGGGAGCGGAGCCCAATATCCCCATCGAACACCCTCAAAACTTGGTACATCCAGAGAGCCTGCGTGTTCGCTAGTTTTTCATATACTGTATTTGCCGCGCGAGTCCCCACATCAGCCGGGCCCTGAGCCTGAGCATGCGCAGCCGTAGTGGTCGTCGACTCGTGCGATTGTGTTGTCTCGTGATGATGACGACGGTGTGCAGCTTCCTTGGGCACCGCCAGGAGATCAGCGACTCCCTCGGAGAGGACACGCAGGGCCCAGTCACGGTTGCTGTCGTTGTGAGCGACATATGCAGACACTGCGGCGTACAGGGTGATTATAGAACGCGGAATGTTTTGACGATAGAGGTGGCGGTGAAGAAAAGGTGCCTCCTTGGTTCGGACAAAGACACTAGGTATCTCCTTGATTGACTTGGTCATGAAGCCGATCTTGGAGTCCGACTGGTAGAGCCTCCAAGGTTGGAAGTCCTCCTGTTCCATGAATGGTGAGCCATGTCAAGCACTAGATAGGGTTCACAGCTGCGTAGTATAAGTCATCATAGTGTCTCGATGGTGACGAAGGTGCTCTCCAATGTTGAGATAGAATTGCACATTCAAGTTGGCGTAGGACAGGTGGCAACGCAGGCAATATTAAGCATAATGATGGACTGCGCAGTTCACGAGGACAGCAAATAACTTACAGAAACATCGCGACTTTCATCTATGGGAAACCGGTGATTAGCGTGCAGTGGCGAGCCGGAAATCCTGGATATCGCGGTCATACTCGTCTGGTCCTGGATTGCTAGAGCGTGCCACGGCTGCATGTCAAAGGGTTGGGGTGTGTCTGTCATGTAATTCGGGAGGTTGTCGAAGTTTAAAAAGGACAGGTCGAATGAGGGTGTTGGGCCGACGAGTGGCATCTGAGAGTTCTCCGCGTCAGCAGCACTGGAAGCGACCAGCTCTTGGATCAGAGGAGGCCCACGTACTGAGGGGTTGCCAAATTCAAACTCGGCACCAGGAATTATTGACGGTTCATCAGGTGCAATAAGATCTTCGAAGTCAACATCCACGGCGTGTGAGGTAGAGTCGTCCGAACCAGATGCCGCGGGGTTCTTGTGGTAAAGACAAGATAAGCCTCTCTCAGCGCAACGAGTGCACTGCGGAGTTCGCTTGTCGCAGCGCCGTTTGCTGCGGACACAAGCATTGCAGCTTTTCTGGCGCGACTTGTCGCTGGTCCAGGGATTAACCATGGCCCTGCACTATGAGGGACGAGGGAGATCGGGTGTAAACTATTGACAAGTTTCGACGAAGCGAAGGCGGCGAGCGATGGCGATTCTTCAATGCTTCGGTAGGAAGGAAAGGCTATCTTCAGAAAGCTGTACCCAGAACTAACTCTCGTACAGCGACGGGGGATTTGTCAGTAGCTGTCCCCATAACCCAGAATGTTAAGAAAGGGGCATTTATCGATCCCGGCCTGTTATTATTCCAAGGTTGAGCCGTACCATCCGCTTTTTCGCGCTCTGGCGATAGTTAACTAAGTTAACTTAATTCCCAACCGAGCCGCCAACCCGATCGAGCCGCCACCCCCCAATTTGAATTCAACGCGTTCGAATTCGAAGCTATCCAAATCTACCAAAATAGAATGTTATTTAAGTAGATCTAGCTAGGATTATGTGTAGGCATCTAACTCTAGTATGCCCTGTAATAAAGTAATTTAGACTCCTTAGTGGCGTATGTTTTAGAGGTTCAAAAGATAAAGGCGCAGAACTAATGGATGAACCCCTAGTCTCATTGCCTTGCTTATTTCTTGCCTGGATAAGATCCCTAGCCTCCTAGATACTAAATTCTTTTTAGGAGTTATCTAGTTATCTAATATCTAAATTACTTCTTTTCTACTTCTCTTTCTTATTAGCTGTATATAGATCATGGTTTTCCTTACTAGTAGGGCTACACTATGTTAGTCTATGCATAGCCATCTTACAACCCTTAATAAGCTACTGGATAGGTAGTTTTAAAGGTATTAAAGGGCTTTAAGATTATTATTTTAGGAGCTTCTTAAGTAAGAATGCTTGCTTTTGTAATTACTAAAGTATATAAGGTATAGTTAGAGTTGCATTTGGTCGAGTTCACTCAGCTGCAAACACTGAAGGGGATGATACTTCATATGGAAGATTTTAATTGCGGCCAAGACCTGCTGAACGTTACAAAGTGATCGCAGAGATCTAACGGACAAGATTATTGATCATTCTGGCGAGAGGTGGGACCATTATGGATTGTTCACGCTCAATTGAATTGATTACTGATCACTGGGCATCCAACACGCTATTCTTATTTGCAAAATGATGACGGTGCAGAATTCCTCCGACGGAAGAGGGAAAAACATGATACCGGACATAATGTAAGTTGCACCTGTGACTATAACTTGGGAGAGCCATGTTTTACAAAGCCGTAGCTGATCATGTTTTGCCGCCACACGATAAGTAAAGTTCATAACTGTATTCTGATTAGCTGCGATTGTTTGGGCCAACCTTCGGACATCGGAGCAATTTGTTGTGGTTCCAGGCCCATCTGGTTGCTTAGCACCGTGGTTCAGTGATCTGATAGCATCTCATGACACTCACATGCTAATATGCAAAGCTTGTCAAAATGTTGATATACAAAAGCCTTCCCCGATACTACAGCCTCTCTTGCTCCATGACTACATTTCCTATCTCCAGGCACACAAAGCAAGCATGTCTTCACTTGCGGCACAACTGCAATCCATTCCCCTTCCTACGACATCGTTCGCAGGTCAAACCGTTATTATCACGGGCTCAAACACCGGGTTAGGTCTTGAGGCCGCACGACATTTTGTGCGACTAGACGCGGCACGAGTAATTCTTGCGGTGAGATCTGTCAAGAAAGGTGAAGACGCCAAGGCCTCCATCGAAGCCTCCACGGACCGCAAAAATATCGTTGAGGTGTGGCAGGTCGACATGTCCAATTACGATTCCATTAAAGACTTCGTCAAAAAGTGCGATTCGCTAGACAGATTGGATGTTGTCGTTGCGAATGCTGGTGTATTGCGAAACACCTACGAGGAATGTGAAGGAACTGAGATTTCAATTACGGTCAATGTTATCGGAACATTTCTCCTCGCGCTTGGCCTTTTCCCAGTTCTGAGAAGGTCAGGGAAGAAAACAGGACAAGCATCAAGGCTAGTGATAACGAGCTCCGTTGTACATGAAAATGTGTGTCTCCCTGAATCCTTGAGGTAGTAGTCTTCCGAGCTGATTATCTCAAAAGGCAAAATTCCGAGAACGACATGAATCGTCGATCTTTGAAGCCTTCAAAAAAAACGAAAAGCGATATCTTGCAGATCGATACTATACCTCAAAGCTTCTTGAAGTTCTCCTCGTTCGTTCCATATCTGCAGCTATGGAAAAGGGTCCACACGCAGCGGAGCCTGTGATTCTGAATTGTGTTAACCCCGGGTTGTGCCACTCGGAGCTCGACAGGGATATTAAGGTATGATCCGATCATAGTTCTAGCACAATCCAACCTTTCCCTGGCTGCCACCTTGACTGATATGCTAACTTGATTTCCAACTTCCAGGGATTGACTGGCTATATGCTCAGGATCGCCAAAGCATTGATTGCGCGAACAACAGAGGTCGGTGGCCGTACACTCGTTCATAGTGCAGCTGCTGGATTTGAGAGCCACGGCCAATACATGAGCGAATGTAAGGTCAAGGAGCCAAGCAAGTTTGTTCGGAGCAAAGAGGGAGCAATTGCTCAACAACGGGTGCACGAAGAGTTGTTGGAGATTCTGGAGAAGATTCAGCCAGGTATAACAAGCAATATCTGAGGAGATTTAATGGATGGCCTGATAGTGTAATAACCATGGTAGTGTTAGCCATCTAGAATGAATTCCATATGGGATCCTAATTAAGCTATGAGTTGAAATGTTAAATGTGGAAATAGATGAAGTAGTACCTTCAGGCAAATTACCCTGAACGTATGCGTGCCTAACATACAGGGTGTTCATGCACACCACAAGCAGCAATTCCCTAGCCTAGAACAAATATCTGTCTTCTTCGAAACACTAACTAAAGCCTCGAATCCGAGCGGCTGTCAAAAGTCAGGTTCGGATCCCCGAGTCATTAAGGAAGATTCCTGAATATCGGATGGGTGACCGAGCGGGTGTAAAATCTGAATTAACGCTGGATGGGTAGCATCGCATAGTTTGAGTCTCGTCTGTAGCCTTATACATTTCGATCTCTTGGGCTAGCGGTAAAGCTTGCCCTGTGATGTTCGTGAGACGGTGAAGGTTGAAACCAGCCAGTATCTCGGAGGTGTTCTACAGCACCTAACAATATTATGAACATTTCCTGGATCAGAACTGGGTAGCGAGGCTTGACGTGACCTGGTTTGGAGGGAGAAAGTATTGCTTGATATAATGGAAATTCTCATAATCCAAACTGTGAGGATAGAAAGGGAAGGGGGTGGGGGGAGGTTGGTTGGAATACAAAGGATTAGATCGGCATCATGGGGATTTAGTCTCATGCATGATACGTAGGTGAGTGGGATTTCCAACCTCTCCATGCCGGCGTGCTCTAACACTCAGAACTGTTCTGTTGGTGCTTTGCGTCGCCGATTTCCCGAGTCAGGTCACAGGTATAATTAACCAACCAGGCGTTCTGATTGACGCCGAAGATCTAAATTCTCCGCCGGTCTGGCTCTTCTAGGTAATAGATCGCATCAGGTTGGCCCTGCCCGTCAGCATGTCAGGATGCTCCTCGCGAAAAAATTGAGGTGTGGCTGGCTGAACATCCGGTTAATGCAGTGAACCACCCCACCTTTGTGGATGCGCAGCGGCCGTGCAGGCTAACAATGAAATAATAATCAACACAAAACCTGGCCAAGTGCCAACTAGAAGATGTCCAAACTTAATTTAAGCGGCGGGGTATAAACTGGGAGTCTGGGACGCTGTTGCATTATTTCTTTTGGAACATTCATACCTCGCGAACCGCTATTTTGTTTGCCTTACCTTGTTTGAAGATATACTTGGTCAATCCTGAAGAACTCTCACTATATTATTTCTGAATCTGATTTTGCAACATGTCATTTGCGGCCTCTGCTTCGGATATCTATCTTGAAGACGGACACAATCTCGTCGCTACGGTGCAGGATAATGACGGTAACTGGGCAGAGGCAGAGTCTAGAATAGACCTCAACGATTTTCTTGGAAATGAAGACGGTATAGTATTCTATATAAAACTTTTGAAAATAATGCCAAGGGACCTGCCTACTAATGAATGAAAAAAATGTTGAGGTTGGTTTATATGGGACGGTGTGAACTTCTCGGAATCAGCAAACGACATTCGACTGGAGGGAACCCTTCTTACTGCCGAGCTCCAGATGCGAGATGGAGCTTACAGGGAAAGACAAGGCATTGATCTAAATGATCGAATTGCCAATGAGAATGGCCAATTAATGGCGACTCACCTGGGAATTACGTTAACTACCAGATATATACTAGCCACCCAAAGAACATCGGACGGATTCCTACTGGGTACATAATCTATTGGATGACGACCCCTGATCAAGAGATACCCCCAGTTCATAAGCTTGACCTCTGTAGTTTTAGCTACGGCATTTTAATAATCCATTGGGTTTCAGTAAAACGACAACAAAGATAGGCGTATGCTGTAATGCCATTATCTTGCTCAATTGGACAGTACAGGCGCCTTGCCAACCCACTCAGAGTCCCCGGTTATATGGTCCAATACCCAAGTCGCCAAACTCTTTCTAGACAAGAACATACCATCGTCTCCAGTTCCTGTATATGAAGCCTTGACAGGTGCATTGGGCCCATCGGTTAAAAACGGCACTCGGAACAAGGTGCACTTAAGTTGCGAGACATCTTGAGATGCTACAAACTCACCAAGCCCCCTAAACTCGTCATAAGCAGACCCGCCTATGATCTTGATAAGAATAAGCGATGCTTTCCACTTAAGACCGCCTCTGTCTTGTGGTGCAGGATACGAGCATGTGCCAAGAACCATTGCCCTCTCGTAGTGACTCTCCACCAGAATAGGAAATATGCGTTTCATAGCATCGGTCACAGGCTTAACCGTTCGAGGTCAACATGTATATTTAAAAGGCAACAGAGTGGGCTGATTCTTTGACGTACCGTTCCTTTTGACTTTGATACGGGTCCTGCAAATGAGACAAAGATGGTAGGACCGGAAGTTGCCGCGCGCTGGAAGCTAGCAATATCTTCCAGAGTGCCTTTCACAACTGAGACATTTGCACTGTTGCGTATCTCATTAGGAAGCTTCGCTGGGCTTCGCACATAAAGGGTTAATGTGTGCCCTTGCAACATTGCGGCGTTGCAAAATTCTAAGCCCGATGGCCCTGACACAAGTTGAGAAAGTCAACCTCAAACATCATTTGTAACCGAAATGGCTCACCAGTAGCTCCAATAACTAGTATGTGTGCTCCCATCCTCAGACGGCTGTATCACTCGATGGGGTAGCGATAGGATGCGCAACAATGAATGATTCTGTTTGGTAATGCTTGAGGAAAACCAGGATGAGCTGTGAGTGAAGTTTTAGGAATTCCAGCTCCTGGAGTTGACCTGGGTACGTATAGAAGACGGACCTCGGACTTCTATACGTACCCCGGATGCAAATTGCATCCGACTGACAAATCCTCATGTTGAGTTTAACTAACCCGAGTACCCATGGTTACGGAACGTACGTCAGGTCCGCGGAGGCGATCATCGTTGAATAATCTGCGCAGCCAATCATCTTATGTCTGTGGATGAACCAGTCTCGGTTATTTGGCGCCATTATTTCTAAGCAACTGCTTTGCGGAAGCAAATTGCCCACGCCTACAATCGGAAATGTTGTCCCCGACAATGAAGACTATGAAACGTTTGTGCACGCAAAGTGCAGCTTTCTAGAGTTTCCTCTGCTTGAACTCGGAAGCTCTTGTATCCGGTGGTACAATTCAAAGATATTTAAGCATCCAAGCGCATAGTACTTGAGAATCCAGAGTTCTTTTCCCTACTCCATCTTCTGTCCAAATGAACGCGATGGGTGGCTCCGAAAGGGCGCGTGCTATGTTCTTTTCCCATGGGTCTGGCCCCTATGTGCTAATGGGAAATGACCACCAACGACCGTTGGTCAACGTTTTGCAATCCCATGCCCACATCCTCGACAATGCCCGCGGCATCATCATTTTTACTGCCCACTGGGAGACGACGCACCCTCACATATCTGCAGCGTCCAATCCACAACTGTACTATGACTATGCTGGCACACCTGGTCTTCCACAGGAGGCATTCGAATACCGATACGATGCGCCAGGAGACCCTGATTTAGCAGCTCGGATCTCCAGCACTTTACAAGTTGCAGGATTCCAGCCGATATTGGATACTGAAAGAGGATGGGACCACGGGGTCTTTGTGCCCTTGATTGTCATGCGGCCACAAGCAGATTTGCCTGTCATCCAGATGAGCATACTCAAGGGAGAATCAGATGGGTCTGAGGCAGAGAAAAATCTCAGATACGGTGCTGCCATGGAAAGATTCAGAGATGAAGGTTATGTGTTCTTGTTCAGCGGCTCCTCATATCACCATCTGGCAAAAGTCTTGGAGGCACTCCCAGAAAGAATGGGGAATGGAAAGGTGGACGTGTCAACGCAAGAATTCGAAGCTGAGCTTGAGCGTGTTGTTGCAATTTCGGATGCGGACAAGAGGTCCGCTATACTGAGAACATGGCGGCAATTTCCTCAAAGCTACGAGGCACACCCCGCTGGCAAAGCAGAGCATTTCATGCCCTTCCTAATCGGTGCTGGCGCGGCTGGGAACGACAAGGGTGAGAGGTCACAATCCTGGGAGCTGTTCGGGGCCACCATGAGCACCTTTGTGTGGTGAATTTCGAATCCAAGTCCGACCGGAATTGTTAGGAATAGATCAAGTTTGCATGTACGAGTCAAGGAGCTTTTAGCCTTTTAGTTGATGTAGTCAGAACTGCATAGACCGTCAGTGTCCCACTTCACCCTATCTAAACCTGCCTGCCGACAGGTTGAGAACGAAACAAAATCAGGAGACTTAATTGACTAGTAAGCCATACCGTTTCTAGTCACAATGTCATAGACTGGTCGTCATCCAAATCTACATAAAAGTGAATCCGTACGTTTCTGGATTTAACGACAATGGTGAAAGTAAGCTGGCAGATGGAGATATCTGCAGTTTAGGAATTAGACCAGAAAAAATCCTAGCGGCAATGGAACATAGGTGGGGTATGTTGCCCATAAGCCCGTGTGCAAGCTGCATACTACTAGCTCTGCCGTTGGCATAAGACAAAATTTTCTGCGCCATAGTTAATAAAATGGACTTTCTTTTCTCATCTTGATTGTCAATGTAACTTGCCTGCCCATAACCTGGAAGACCTGAAGCGATACTAACGCTTGGTGAAGTGGAAGTCTCCGTGCCGTTTGCTGCTTTTGAAATGGCATGGAGCGCTAGTCTTTCAAATTCGGAGCATAAATCCAGCAATAATTGTACCTCGAGGATCTTGTCTTGTTGGACCCTTGACAGGAATTCGACGAGATGACCAATGTATCGCGTGTGGGAATGTGCTTGTGCATCTGTAGGGTTCTCAAGCACTATAGCCACCAGAGTGATGCAGGCAGATATAGGATAGCATAAAATATGCCTAGGAGGCAATCAGAAGGATGATATTTTGCACACCCAGGGGAATATACGTACCAGAGATGTCCGGGTTGCTCATAAGGCAAGTATTGCAGTATATGTATTATTTGGGAGGCTGCCGATGCCTGAATGATCCTTGAGGACTGAATTTGTCGAATTGCACTAATATCGCCTTCCTGGTTAAGGTGTGCTGCAAAGCCATGAATTTCACTGAGGGTGCAATAGTAAGCAAAATGTAATAAGATGATAGGCTCCCTGACAGTTGGCGTCGTTGGCCAGACAATACGATCAGGTTGAAAACTCGACGGAAGCTTCGCTTTCCAATTCTCCAGTTGATGGTCAAGCTCCGCCACAAGGTCCAGAAGCTGATGTACATTCTGCATTCCAACCGATCCCGAGTAGAGCCTTTTCTCGACGCTGGATTCAATCATCGCTAGTTCAGCCTTCAATCGAAAACCAGAGGCTGACATGCTAGTTCCCGGGACGTTTCCATCCATTGAAGACGCAGATAGAATCAGATCTGGGTAGTCGATATTTATCGCATCGTCTTCAAATACAGAGGGCAACCCTGTGTTCACAGATATGCTCTTGTCGAGTATATATGCAATCCAGAAGGCCCTCTTATGGCGGTTAGCGGCGGCAGGGTCAAGGACCGAGTAAAATTCCCTTCGGTGTAATCCAAACGTTAATGATAGACGTGCGGCCGCATTTACGAGAACGGACGTTGTTCGTACATCACTCGATCCCTGCGTATATATAGCCATGGCAAGAAGCGCTTCTAGGCCTAAAACGTCTGCCGCTCGTAGGGCAATGACTGAATACATGCTGAATGCGTTCTTGAAGAACTGCCACGACAGTTCCGTCATCTCGCTATACGAGCCCCTGGCAGTCCGTAGCTGAATCGCGACCGCTATCGTAGCATTCAACATTGCCCAGTGTCCAGGTTGCTTCCCTGGTGGAACAGTAGGGTCTGAATAGTGTTGTTCCAGAAGATCCATTAGGACAGGGACATCAAATAGCGGTAGGACGTGATTGGCCTCAGTAAAGGCCACCTCAAACATGGATTGGAGCTGGGATTTTGGAGGGAGTTGGATAAAGACCGAGCTGGTGAAAGGGCCGCGGTTTGCTTCCAACCTGAGCTTTCTCACATTTTGCTCCGGAAACATTCTGAACAACTTCTCCCTAAGAGCCGATTTTACCCTCTCATAACCATCGGATATTATCGATGGCCCAGGTAACCTTGCTTCTGACTCACAATAAATCGGCTCGTGCCTCTGTTCATTGCGGGAGGCAGTGGTGAATGAATTCCCCGCACCTGATAAAGTAGACTCAGTCCTGTTCTCGCATGTTCCCGAGGCCGTCTGTGCCTGCTGTTCCTCTACCCACGCCATGGTATTGTTCGCCGACCCCACAGGAACATTTGCTGCACGGCGCACAGAAGCCTCTAATTCCGTAACTCGAGCCTCGAGCTTCCCTAAATAGGCTTTTCTGGAGTAGAGTTAGTCGATGACAAGAGCTGGTCTCAAGATGTCAGCTGACGTTTTCCCTCGACCTCTCCGTCTCACTCCCTGGTAAATACAAGTCAAATGGCGCTCTGCACACGGGGTACACTGAGGAATGTTGCCGTCACATCGTTTCTTTTTCTGTTGACATCGTAGGCATGCCTAGCGCAAGCTGTTAAGGAGACTCACAATCCTGGACAAGATTCTCTTACGTTGGCGGTTCTTCTACCTCGTTCAGTAAGTGGCAAATCCTTGCCCTTTGCTGTTGACTGCATGCCGACAAACAATCCCAATAGACACCTGGTAACTGACTGTTACAATGCGCTGATTCAAATCAAGGTGGGCCGCTAAGATGAAATATTTGAGGAATACTAACCAGTCAACGCGGATCAAAAAGACGTGTGAGCATCAACCTATCGTTTCTCGGTATTGGTGCGACAACAGGATGGATCTCTGTCGGAAGCAAATTGCATCCGGCTGAGAAATCCTCCCGCGATGACTTCTGGTTAACTCAAGGTTGCAGCCAATCACAGCATTAAGCTTGATGAAGTAGCGTCGGATTGTGGGTGCGGAAACTCTATTCCTAAGCATTGTTACAGAAGCATATTCCCACACCTGCTAAGATGGCTGTGATGCTTTAGGAACTATCTAAAGGCGCCCTCCCTATTCTTCGTAGTTACTAAAAATCATAATAGCATGGTGTTCTCCCTGTCACCTTATCTACTGCTGGCTCAACCTTCTCTGTCTAAGCATTCAGAGTAGCCATATTATGGTATTGGTATGATATTAGTGCCTTCAGGCCATAGCCATAGCTCTTCTTTCTTTAGCATCAATTCGGAAATAGGAACACACTTTTAGTAAAGCTAACAATATTTTTCTATTACTATATTCTTCCCATAATAATATTAAACACCCTTGCACAATGCAGATGAAAAGAGCATAGGGACCACCCGACCAGGGGAGTCACGTCACTCACGTGTTCCACAGTCGTGTCAGTGAAAAATGTATTATGTTGCTGTCTGGCTAAATCACCTCACTAACAAGCAGAATCTGTTCAGAGATAGGATGAGAATTAAGAACCTCCGTCAGTCTTGTTTAGGATTGTCCGCAGCAATTTGATACATTGGACGGGGTGTGGTTGCGTCGGCCTTCCCTGTGTCATCGGAGCTTCCGCGGACTGTCCATGGCGGCGCGGGATGTTAATGGTAGGGAATACAGTTGTTCAATTTCAGCCTTGAATATTGTCCCTCCGTGGAGTCTCCGACTATCCTGTATTACGCCCAGTAAAGGCTCAATGACTGACATTATATAACGATGTCTTCTCCTACTCCATAGCGGACTCTTCATCGTATCAAACACCCACTACAGTCACACCGTCCGACAACAAGAGGATTGTCTTTCTCCTCATTCAAGCTACCTTGTTTACCAAATGACATCGGAGCGACGAATCGATATGACTGGCGAGAAGCCACCTAGCGAGTACACGTACGTTCAGAACTCAACAGCATAAAACAAAATTTCGCGGGACGGACTAACTCATGGCATTTCTCTAGACCACGAGCGAACTTGACCATTCTGGGCTCTTTTACCGGACTTTTCTGCACTGTGGGCTTCTTGAACTCGTTTGGTGTCTTTGAAGAATACTATGCGAAGAATCAGCTTGCGGATAAGTCTGAATCGACAATCGCATGGCTTGGGGCACTCAGTATCTTCTTTGTCTTCTCCGTGTCCGTAGTGTCTGGCCCTCTGCTTGACGCTTTTGGACCAAGAGTGAGTCCCTCGTACTACATTTAACTGCTATGTAGCTAACAGCCCGCTTAGCTATTGCTCTATGTTGGCTCGTTCGGGACTGTATTCTCGATCATGATGACCTCGCTTTGCAATGAATTCTACCAGTTTATTCTTGCACAGGGTATCTTGCTCGGTGCGTCTCTAGCACTTTTGGTCTGCCCCATGCTTGCTCTCGTCGGTCAGTATATTAAGATCAAGCGTGGAGCCGCTATGGGGATCGTCATTGCAGGTTCATCCCTAGGTGGTGTTATCTGGCCCATTGTCATTAACGAGCTGCTGAAAAAGCCCAATATTCGATTTGAATGGACGATGCGCATCGTTGGATTCATCATGATGCCTCTTCTTACCATTTCGTGTCTTTGTTGTCGGCCTCCTAAGACTCCAATAGCCACGAAGAGGCTGCCAGACAGACCAGACGCCAACGAGGCTGTGAGCCCAGAGCAGGAGCCTGTCAGTACTCCGAGAACAGGGTTCTCGATCTTGCGAGAGCCCAAAATGCAGGTGACTTGCCTTGCATTTTTCATCACTTATTTCGGCATGTTTTCCCCTTTCTTCTTCACCACATCCTATGCCGTGGCACAGGGCTTCTCCGCCGACTTGTCATTCTACACAATCTCCATTATCAACGGAGCGTCCCTTTTCGGCCGCATTATTCCGGGCATTCTTGCGGATCGATATGGTCGGTTCAACACCTGCATTCTTGCGACACTCTTATCCGGTATCATCGCATTATGTTGGACAACTGCCACATCTACTGCAGGCTTGGTAATTTGGTCTGCGGCATATGGATTCACTTCTGGGGTACGCCTTGATCCAGCCTTGGTCCCTTCATTAGAAATACTGACGCCCTCTTAGGCCATTCTCTCCCTTCAACAAGCATGTGCAGCTCAAATCGCTACACCAAACACCTTGGGCTTATCAATCGGTGCTGTCATGGCATCTACGTCTCTTTCGTATGTACCTACATCTTCCAATATGCAAAGCTAACCTTTACACAGCGCAATGGCAGGCATCCCTATCAGTGGCGAACTGGCTGGCAAATACGGGTATCTTTCGCTTTCTATCTACTCCGGTGTCAGCCTCTTAGTCGGTACTTTGCTACTTGTGGTAGCGCGTCTGATGCAGAATCGGGATTTGCTAGCATCTGTCTGAGATTTCCGAATATGCAACAGGTGACCTGATGTCTGAGGTGCCGTAGTGGGATTGTGTAATAGACTGACAGGCTGACGGCCACAACGTTGAATAGAGTAGAATGCCTGTTCAGCTCTCCTTCTCTTGCTTCTCCTCTCAACCATTTCGATAAAGAAGCCTCACTATGTCTTAATTTTATATGCTTTAATAATCCAAGATAAAAAGTCTATCTACTCTAATACAATGATGGCTACGAAAGGATCTAATATGGACTGGAAACGTTCTTCAAGCGATAGACTCGACCACGATCGAGAATAGAACCATGAAACCGGCAGAATAAAGGTGCAAAAAAGGTTGAAGAAAATAAGATCGAAAAGACAAAAAGATGGACTCGCGGGGAATCGAACCCCGGACCACCCCCATGCTAAGGGGGTATTATACCACTAAACCACAAGCCCAGTTGTTGGAGGATGGAGAAATAACGTGCTACATAGACCACTCTAACACAAACTCGTTCCTATTGTTCCCATGATATCGTCATCCCATGTCTAGACATATCAATAAGGTCAAATCAAACTAGAAGATGATGCAGAATAATGATAAAAAATGTTCATGCTATTGGCGCTCTGTACTTGATTGATAGTAACATCTCTACCCAAAAAGTTCTACCTACTGCTGAGGCGAATCCTCGCGACCGTCCTGCCAGCTGGTACAGTTGACACAGCGCAATGCCTAAACACATTAGAACTCCGGATCTTCCAGATTGAAATAGAGGCATATACCTTCTCACTGATGTACTTCCGACAGTATTTGCATCGGACTGTTTGCTTAATAACTTGATCATGGGAGATCCACGTATAGAGTTGCCCGATCGCATACAATGTGAGACTGACACCAACAAAGCTGATCACTGTCTCGAGGAATGACCTGGCACATTGTCAGCTCAACAAACCCATATGAGTTGTCGGATAATCTTGTTGGAGGTCATACCCATAAGCCAGTACCAGGGCGCCGTCGTTTCGCGCCTGCTCGAGGGTATTGTACCCTTTTTCCTTGACATAATGCGGCCCGCGTCGGAGCACGGCAAACTTCTCGTCCATGTTGCGATGCAAAAATGGAAGAAGAGCGACAATGGGAAGAATGATATCGGAGACGAAAGAAGTGACCACCTTGGTAAATGCTTGAGCGATACTAATCGATGTCAGTCAATTGCATTTGAGAGGTTGTAACAGTCCTACATCAAACCCAATGCCACCTCGAGCACATTGTCTCGCACTGCGAAATTGACGAAGCCATCCCAAGCACGCTTGACCGTACTTTCGGCGCTTTGGCCTGCTCGAAGGAGCGCTTCGGTGCTGTCGTCGAGGCGAGGCATGTCGCTGTTGGATGTGTCGAGATGTGATGTTGAAGAGGAAAAGTGTGGAGTTGTGCACCGTGGCGGGTCGATCATTTATATCAGTGTTAAACGCGTGCTTTCATCATCTCGTCATGTGCCGCTGTCAATCAGTAAACACAAAACTTGGAAGCGATTATGCATAACCAATCATTTTACTGGATGGGATTAAGGTTATCACTTCTAGTCTATTTTCTCGGCGTGCTTCCTTGATGGGTCAGAGACACTGCAATAATCTTTCCCGGAGTACTACATCAATAACAACCCGAAGAGTCAGGATTAGAGAAGAATATATATCCCAGTTTCCGCTTCCTATAGCCGAATGCCTCCACACACCAGGAAAGGACCACAACTAGGACGGAGATTTAGCATTGCTATGACCCATTCTTAATAAACACGTTCATCAACTACTGATTCTTTTGACTATTAAAACAATCCCTCTGATCTTCTCCACTGATAGTCCAGCACATCACTCGCTATTTCGGCGCAGGGCAAGCCACAGAGAACCTCCACAACATACAACGCAGCGTCAAAGCCACTAGAAATCCCTCCAGATGAGATGACCCGCATTCCATTATCGAGTAAGCCGGCATCGACAAACCTCTTCCGGACAACCTCCGTCTTCCCATACTTTGCACAGAGCTCCGCTAGCTCTGGTATAATTGTGTAATGGGTGGTCGCGCGCCGGCCTGCAAGAATGCCTGCGGAAGCGAGGAAAAAAGCCCCGCTGCAGACTGAGAGAAGGAGTCGAGGATGGACGCGAGATTCATCCTTCGGCAGAGAAGAGAACTTCTGAATGACCTGGATGACCGGAGAGTCCGTAGAACAGAGCTCTTTCGTGACCAGATAGCTTGCGCCGGGGACAATAAGGACGTCAAACTGTGACAGGGAAGACATGGCTTGCTCAAAGTTGATGTTCCGTTTGATGACCAGGTCCTGTAGGGTGGTGATTTCGTCGCTGGGGCCGGCGACTGTGGTGAAAAACAAGCGGTCGCCAGACGGGCCTCGAACATGCGACAGCGTTTCCAGTGGCCCGGCGAAATCGACCAGGTCCATTTTCTCGAAACTCAGGATACAGACTTGGATGGGCTGGATAGTTTCCGACATGTTAAAGGGACTTGCAGCTGTTGTTCTGGTAGGATATTGAGGCGAGAAGATCGCTGAATCAAATCTCACTGGGGATCTCGACAGAACTTTATATCATCAATCCTTAGACTCTTGATCCTGGCAAGGTCAGCTGCAGATCTGTATTTGCAACCGTTCCGGTATCCCAGGGAATGCTAGTGCTGACGCAACAATAGTAAGAGCAACGCGGATAGATCAAAAGACGAAAATACCATATCGCATTAGACTCAAATTGGACTTCAGGCGTTCCGCGCTAGACGGCACTTCTGTCCGTAGCGCTCCTACTGGTCCTTGACTTGTCATTTGCATTACTCATATCATCCAGACAAACACAATGATGATCCTACTGCACCAGCTCAAAACAGTACGTGCCGTGGTCTTGATGCTTCTTATCCTCTAGCTGATCTTGTCTTGCAGTGTGATCAGACTCAATCGGAATGCAGGGCCTGTTGAAAATCAGGTCGCGCATGTCGGGGTTACTCAGAGGCACTCAAGCCTTCAGCAATCTCACCCTTACAACATCAACGCGCCTCTAAAACCTCCCATTACAGACGCCCATCTTAGAGTAAGATAGAATGGAGACTGCATCGAACCATCCCTGATGCCGGACACAATGTCTATCATAACTTTCGATGCTTGGAGTGACACTTCACGCTGGTTTTAAGATGGTAGCGAAGAATCGATCCCTTGTCGAATGTAGACTCGGGCGACATGTAATGGAAGCCTATCTCAAAATCATCAGAGTAGGTCCCGGGTAGAGAGTACTTGGATTTAGTATTCGTCCTTTGCCTCTCTTATACATTGTCATGGCCTGTATTATCCGACAATGTCGACTGAGCGTAAATGCGCCCGGGACAAGTCTATTCCAATAATAAACATCAAGCGCTCTTAAACGAGTTCTGACTCAAAATCCTTTGACTTGGCCTTTCTTATTCGAACTTCGCATATCCCTCTGATCTAGACTACTGGTTAAACGCAATGATCCCTGTGCCTGTTTCATGTCTTCCGAATCAAGCGATGTTTCCTGCACGCGAGTCAGTGCTGGAGCTGGACGGCCATCCTCACGATTGTGCCCCCCAAGATGCTACAGTGTATTTTACTCCCTTGCTTTTTACGATTTATTCCGGGAATTATAGTAATGCTAGTAATCTCCTCCATATGACCATTGAGCGTCGGGGTACTTGTTCTCCGGACACAGCTGCTAGCTGGACTCATTTTAAGCGTAGTGATAAGTCTCAGCTAGTGTCGGTCATGACCGCTGGCGTGTGCACTTGAAAAGAAATGTTCAAGATACTTGAGAGCACGAAAGTAGTATCATTTACGAATACGAATGTTTGTCTAAGCTTCAGGTCTAGATACCTTCAACGGAGCATGTCCGCTATTGCTGAGCTTTGCTCGCTAGTTACGGACGATTTGAGACCTACTGTTTTACCGTACCGGAAAAGGGAAAAAGGGAGTTGCAAGGTGACCAATCCCTTTACCTTAAAAGAACATGCCCACTTTTATCAAACTATCCGGTTAGCTTCCTTGAAACATTGGAGTTGGTGGAGTCCCTTGGCACGCGCTTGAGGCTGGTGGTGAGACCGAATGGGTGTCGCACTAGGCAATTAGGGTCCTTCAGGGTGCTATATTCATCAACTTGCGACTGAGGGGCTGCTTTCTGGCATTGTGAGCGCAATCAACTTGAAGCTCTGCTATCTTGTAGCGAAACTATGCGAATAAGATATAAACCTGCGTGTCGCCATGCTTGCATGCTTTTTCCAGTCACATTCCAGTCATTCTTTCTATTTCAGTTAATTTGTTCCCAGTCAGATTAGTCGTTGATCGACTCTACACTCTTTCACCATGTATTTCTTTTCGCTGGTAGCCGCGGCTGGACTCGCGCATGCCTACACTGTGGTCGTCGCTGAGCAGTTCATGCTTAAGAACATCGATCCTATTGTGCTTCCTGGCCAATACAAGAGCCACATGCACAGCTTCTTCGGATCCGATGCCGTCACCATCAACACAAACACCTCGGCCGAGCTCCAGGCCGGTTGCTCGACCACCGAGAACCCCAACGACCTCTCCGTCTACTGTACGCTCTCCTCTCCGTCTGAAATCATACGCTAATCTAACCAAACCAGGGGTCCCAACCTTATACCTGACCGAAGGCGGTAAACACACCCCCATCACCCCCATGCGCTTCAGCGCCTACTACATCAACATCGGCGACGCGGAGATCCCCTTCCCCCAGAACTTCAAGGCCGTCGCCGGCAACGCCCAGGGCACGTCCCAGGCCGATGTTAAAAGCGTCTACGGCATCCAGTGGATGTGCGAGGGCGTCTCCAACACCGACGGCGGCAAGGACGTCGCTGCCTTCCCGACCAAGACCTGCCCTACCCATCTGCAGTCCATCCTGCTGTTCCCGGACTGCGTCAACCCGGACACCCTCGACTACGCCTACTCGGGCACCCAGAACTGGAGCGGCAGCTTCAGGCCCGCGAACCGCTGCCCGGCCGGCATGAAGCGCATCCCACAGCTGCGCTTCTCCATTCGCTATGATCTGCGCAAGCTTCTGCCGAAAGGGTGGTCGGGCACCCCGCCGCTGGAGTTGGCGTGTGGCTCGTCGTACTGCTGGCATGGCGATTTTATTAACGGATGGGTCCCTGAGGCGGCGAAGAATATGCTCAAGGCGACGGATAAGCGCGAGTTTATGCAGATTGATGGGCCGCTGGGTGGAGGCAAGGATGGGTCCAAGTGTGGAGCGAAAAATGCGCACGATCAGGATCCTAACCATGGAACGAGCGATTATGAGGAGAGTGTCAAGATGATGTCGAGCAAGAGGAGTATTGGCCAGCGTCGGTGATCTAGCCCCTGCTACCAGTTCTGTCTATGCTCAGGATGAGGGCTCGGCGATGTATGTACAGTAATTCAGAGAAACTATCTTCCAGTACTCTCGTTTCTTGTTTTTGTCCACATTATCATACTAAGTACGATCGCTTTCATTTACACACCAAGGTAGTGCAGATAAACTAAGTCCAGCAGGACTTGCCTGTCGGTGGGTTGTATCCCAGCTACGTTTAAGGGTATATCTTTGTGCTATAGGAGAGATGTCATGCATCTTTTGTTGATTTCGTAGCCCTTTAATGCGGAGTGCCACATGTTCTAGCTGACACAGTGGCTTAGGAGGTGGCGCTTTAGGGCTCTAAGAAAGTGGCATAAGCTGAACTTAATGATTAAGATTATTTTCTTCTGATAATAGATGATGACGAGGCTGATGACTGACTTTGTGGGTAAGCTGACACTTGGCGAGAATCGCATCTTAAACCCGGAACTCGGAATTAAGCATAACTGCTCTCCGTACCATGGATGCCCCCCGTACATGGCAGGATCATACATTCCTCGGATTTTGCAAGTTGAATGCACCCTAGATAATCAGGCGATGGAGAATCAGGAGTTAAGAAGATCATCATGGTTATAACGACAAACTCCAGCTGAAAGGGTTCTTTCTATGTGACAACTTTCTGTATAAAGTCCGCCTCATAGTCTTTTCCAGTCTGGTGTCCATAGTCCCTCATCAATCCAAGATCATCATTTACTATCATTTTCATTCAAGCTCAGTGTAATCACAGACAGCATAATGACAGCACGCTATGCAGACGTTCACAAGAATCCCCAAGGCCCAGGGGACGCTCGCCCAACAGCCATGCAGATCATCCACGACGAGGGCCTAGAGGGCCAACTAACCGGCTCCTCGATCCTGATCACCGGCGCATCCTCAGGCATCGGCGTCGAGACGGCCAAAACACTCTTCACCACCGGCGCAACCCTCTACCTGACAGCCCGGAACCTGAACAAAGCCAAACAAGCCCTCGGCGACCTGGTATCCTCTCCTCGCGTCCACCTGCTCGAACTAGACCTCGAATCCCTCGCCAGCGTGCGCGCCTGCGCCGCCGAGGTCCTCTCCAAAACCAAGACCCTCAATATCCTCATCGCCAACGCCGGCGTCATGGCCACCCCAGAAGGACGCACCAAGAACGGCTTCGAGACCCAGCTCGGAACCAACTACCTATCTCACTTCCTGCTCTTCCTCCTTTTGCGCCCGGCGCTGCTGGCCGCCGCGACCCCACAGGCGAATTCCCGCGTGATTCTCCTCTCGTCCATCGCGCACCGGTACTCCGAGGTGGAGTTTGACAACCTCAACCTCGACGGTGAGTACGACAGGTGGAAGGCGTACGGGCAGAGCAAGTGCGCGCTGGTGTGGGCAGCGAATGAGATCGACCGGCGCTATGCCTCGCATGGTCTGCGCGCCTTTAGTGTCCAGCCCGGTGGCATTATGACCGGACTGGCGCAGCACTTGTCCGAGGAAGAGCAGAGCGGATTCACTGAGGATCCAACTCTGGGGCCGCGGCTTAAGAGCCCGGAGCAGGGTGCTGCGACTTCGGTGTGGGGGGCTGTCGCCAGAGCCCTTGAGGGGATGGGTGGGAAGTATCTTGAGGATGTGCAGATTGCTGAGGCGCATGACGCGAGCGGAGGTCCGTGGGCGCCGGGTTATGCATCGTACGCGTATAGCCCGGAGAAGGAGAGGAGGCTGTGGGATGTATCGCTGAAGTTAGTGGGTGTTGACGAGTGAAAGAAGGACAATAGGCTTCAAGTTTCTAGTATGTACTTTATTTGAAATGTAATCCAGCAGGTGCTGGAGCTTAATCCTATTCAAACGTGTTGTAGCATTCGTCAGCCAGTGTTCTTCTCCATGGAGTCAGTTCGTAATATGGCTTCCTTTAAAGCTCCTTACCATCTATGGAGTCTACTCGGTTGTGAGTAAGAGCAACATCCCTGAACCAAACCAGTGAGCAACATACTTGGATTGCAAAGAAATGGACAGGCCCTTCTACCCATACCTCTTCCTATAGGAGGAAGAGTAAGGAAAGTATTAGGCAGAATAACTTCATGGCGTCTCTTCATGGGAAATAAACAACCTATTACATAACCAATCGAGTCCGTCGAGTCCATAACCATACCTGAGGGATATCCGTCATCATAGATAGATTTGCCGGCCCAAGTCGACAGGATAGACTTTGCTACGCAATAATCATGGCATGCCAATGTCATACATGCTGCCACTGGTTCTTGAATAACATCAGTATTCACTGAGGCTGCATGCACCAGTGCTACCAGTATACAAAATAGTAGAGCCTAATGCCATTGCTCTCTTTCTTTGTCGAAGTCTGTGATCGAAATGAGCCCCTGATGTCAGTCATGGGGCGGTGACTATGAGTACACGGAGCAGAAAGCAAGGAAACCTCTCATAGCCTCTCAATGTATGAGGCATGGACACCAAGAGTGAATGAGGAAGTCAACAGTTCTATCGTCTTGGGTATCCATTGCTGCATGCAGGAAGTGTGGATAAATTCGCTCTGGGGTTGCGAGAGGATTACAAAATACGACGGTCAATGTGAATTTACCACGTCAGAGGTCGGTCAAGGCAGGGACGGAGCTGGATAATATCAGCTCTCTCCTGTTTTGGCAGCCCACTGCAAATCTTCTCATTCGAGAATATTTACTAATTCTAGTATTCATTTGAGAGTTTGGGTTAATCTAGGTTGGCGGTTGAGCTTAGGACGGGGGACATTAACAATGTAATGAAGCCAAACGTTTTACTTTATCATTGTAAGGCAATCATATTTTTGTAAGGTTTCCCTCCTTGTTTACAACTCAAGTTGGATACTTGCATTGTCGTTATGTCTTTTGTTATGGTTGCATCAATAATTTTCTCCAAGACGGAAAGGATCACATGCTATCCTTCATGGCATTGTATGAGATTTTTTGCCCATCTCTGAAGGGGCAGTATCCAATGAGCCGTTAAGACGCCATTTATACAAACTTATGCAGGAGCCGTTGCATACGGAACAGTTTATACAAAATTTTCGGACTATTTCAGATACCTACTTTGAAATATCCCTCCATCCTGGGGTATAATTTGCTGTCCATTCGCTCAGCAGACCTAGACCCTAGCCATCGTCGCTTCAAGCAAACGAATGCTCTTCCCCCGCTCGGAACCAGCTTCGACTTGACGGATCGCCTGACTAACTGTGACAAACACCTTAAGAGGGGCTTCGGGTTACTCGTCGTCATCGCTCTGCGCCGTACCAGTCACAGCCCGTTTTCTCATCTCATTTGGAGACGGTCTAGCCCGTCTTGGCCCCGATCGTTGAGTTTGAGGAAGCCCCCCTTCGCTAACGCCAACTGGAGGCTTGTCATTCTGCGTCCCAAGGGTGGAAGGAGAGCTTGGAGTGGCAACCTCAGTAGACTGTGTGGCAACTGCGGCAAAGCGGCTGCTGTAACGCTTGTCGGTCAGGTTTCGAAGAGCATCTTCCGTCATTGAGCCAACTAATTGTGCCGAATTACCTTTGGACAGGGCTTTCTTAATATCAAATAAATCAGCTAGGGTAGTCACCACTACCTGATCACTGTCGCCATCGGCAACTACCTCTCCAATCCTGTAGATTTTCTGTCGAGAGACTTCACTGGCCATGTTGCACACTTCTAAGCATTGCCTTGAAATCTGAATATCTTCCTGCAGTGCCAATCGCTCCTTGTCGTTTTGGTCCGTGTTTGTCACTAGGGAATCCAGCCGTTCCTGAAGGCGCCTGATGATGCCCGTAAAACCAGCTCTGTTTTCATCCAAAGCTTGGCGTGTCAGCAGCTGAGCTTCGAAGCGGGCTTGCACATCATCTGGGGTGATATTTCGGGGGGCCTCTTGCAGCACGGCAGACTCCCTTTGTGTTAAAGTCTCGAGGAAACTCTTCGCATCTTGGCAGATGCGAAGACACTGCTTCGTCACCTCCCTCTCATCCTCCAGATTAATGCTCACATATGAGGCATTATCATCTTGAGTCGTGAGACGTGCCAATTTTTCGTCAATCCGTCGCAGGTGAATGTCTAGATCATAGGCCGTGTCCTGTATCATTTCATTGTACTCTTGCAGGACTCGTTCGGACACCTTGGAAGAATGCCTTATGCCAAGAGGATCAGTAAAGTCTCATGCAGGAGTGGAGCTTTGACTAACATAGTGATAGTACCCAATCCAACAGAGATCGTTGACTTGTATCCCGCAATGTTGTCAATAAATTCGTTGATGTCACCCCTCATGAACTCCAGCTTTGCCCAATCACGAAAGCCTGTCGTTGACTTTCGACTAAATATCTCCATTGCCTTTTCAAATTCTCGACATATTTGGCTGCAACGCTCAACAGGGCCCTGAAGCAGAGTTAACATCGACATATCTGCATTCATTACCTCTCCCAGTGAGCCTAGGATGCTTGTGAGGTCCTCGAGCTCATTTTGAAGTCTGCGTAGGGACTTATCGCGATCCTTGAAGCGCCTGACGGTGCCGTGGAGCGACTTGACTGACTGAACGGCAGCTGTGATAACAGCCAGCATTGAAGCAGTGATGCTCAGAGGATCCGCCATGAGGGACTCTAGAAGCGGAATGTACGCTGGCAGAGTTGTAGCAGATAATATGTGAGATGGTGGTCGGTGATTTTCAGTTGAAGGTTAGGTGGCGAGGTGGGCAGGTGTTCAAATAGCCTGTCTTATTCGTTAATACCGCCCAAGGCACTTTGCTGAGATTAGCGCCGAGGCTGAATCACCAAATGTCGTTTAGCTCAATCGCATCCCTCCTATTGGACAAGAAAGACATGTTACTGCGTGCCTCGTCGTGGGGTTTCAGTCTCTGTCACTTCGCTCACCAATCGATGTAGCAAGTTGCGGGGTAGGTGCGGTAGAGGCCATTGAATTAATACCGAGTATTGAGACGCGCTCTCCAGTCCCTTTTGGTGAGCCTGAAATTGGCTGGAGTAGTAACTGACCCACTGACTGCTTATCGATCTGGTTCACGCCACGACCACATATATGTGGTGGGGTCCGTCCCGCGTTTATATCAACTAAGATAGGCTGGTATGGCAAGCCATTGGAACATAACTAAAAATAACATCGGTAGGTCTTTCAGTATGTTAGTATTTCATGATATTCTGCCAGTAATAAAATTTGATTTCAAGATAAAATCAAATTTAATAAGGACCTGTATCCAGATTCTAAATTTACGAGACTTGGAGTACGTTCAAGAGGTTCTGGACGGTAAAGCAAGGGGCGTTTATCAGAGTGGCTCTCAATGAGAGATTCTTTCAGCGTGTTCATATGATTGAAGGACAGACTAGGAGGGTAGTAGGTAGTAGAATATTCTCATGTCTGGAGATAAAGAACAAGGACTTGGAAGGCGTGTTGACTATAGTAATATGTATACGACCGAGACATAAGGCTATGTAGCTTAAGAGGTATTTTGGAGGCTTCCCTTAAGCAGGACAATAATCCACTTCGCTACATAATCTTCTCGGCGGCATCCCTACCCACATCCGAGTATCTGGCTCACATCACCGAGTTTCCGGAGGCTGGGGGAAGCTGTCCAGAACCATCTCTTTACCCTTCACCGTGAAAGTAGCAGTCGGATATTGGTTCTCTCCCACGTCCAGCTCCAGAGTGTACCGCCCCGGGTACAGCACCAAGTCCCCATTCTCCGCTGTCCGCGCCAATGAACCCAATGAGACTTCGACGTCAACCGACCTCTTCTCGCCAGGCTTGATCTGCTTCGCACGAGTGTACCCCACCAGCGTCTTGAGAGGATATGGCTTCGGCCCAGCATCAGTAGTCTTCAAGAACAGCAACGCCACATAATCCGACGTGGTGTTCCCAGTATTGGTCACTTGGATGCGGAAGGTGTCGAACGCAGCCCTATCGATTGGTACGTTCTTGGCTGCCCCCTTCAACAGCGCTGCAGTGTTATACGGTCCCAGGGCTCTACGCGGCCAAGTAATTTTGAAAGTCGTATAGTGTAGACCAAAGCCAAATGGCAGGACCGCCTTATCGTACCACCGATACGTACGCCCCGGAGTGTTCGACCCCGGACGCAGGGCCATATCGGTCATTGGAACCTGGCTGACATAGTCTGCCGGGTATTGTGTTACTGGCAGGCGGCCCGCAGGCGCTATCGTCCCAGTGAGGATGTCGAAGATGGCGGATCCACCTTCTTGGCTGGGATACCCGGTCCAGAGGAGAGCGTTGACGTTGGGGTTTGAGAGTAGAGACGAGTCGTCGACTTGTCCGCCTCCGAACTGGACTACGATGAGGGGCTTTCCGAGCTTGGAGAGCTGGTCGATCAAGTCTAGCTGGTTCCCGGGCCAGATGATGGTGGTGCGGTCGTGCCCTTCGGCTTCGATGCTATTATCGATACCGCCAGCGTACACCACGACATCTGCTTGTTTGGCAGCTGACAGTGCCGCGTCAAATCCAGCTGTGCTGTCTGTGTTGATAGCTGTGCCGGAGGCGTATTTCACATCGTATCCCATCTGGGTAGCGGCCCAGAGAAGCGTGCGGATATACTTCGGGGGGCCTTCGTAGTTGCCCTGCATTTGCTTTGTTGCGTTGGCATATGGTCCGATCAGGGCAAGGGTGCCCTTGGCCTTGAGCGGAAGGGTCTTGTCGTTCTTCAATAAAACGATGCCCTCGACAGCCGCCTTGTGGGCGAGTGCTTCTGCGGCAGGGGTGTCGACATCCTTCCACCCGATGGAGCGATAGGGTTGACCCTCCGCGGGATCAAAGTACCCCAGTTTCACGAGTGAGGAGTACAGCCGAACAAGCGCCGTATCAAGCGTCTGGTTGGTATAGAGACCCTCGTCTGCAGCCTGTCCAAGATATTTAGGAAACACCGTGCCGCAATCCAAATCCGTGCCTGCCTTCAGCGCCGTAGCAGCGGCCTCGGCTGGAGTCTTTGTGTAATTATGGCCATTGTAGATATCGTCGATAGCACCGCAATCGCTCGTGACCCAGTGGCCGGGCTCATCCCACTTCCAGTGCTCTCGGAGAATCGTCTGCAGCAGATAGGAGTCGGCACAGGCAGGCACACCGTTCAACGCATTGTAGCTGCACATGACTGCATCGACCCTGGCATCGCGAACGCAGCTCTTGAAAGGAGGGAGATAGAACTCAGACAGATCCTGCGTCGACACCTCCGCGTTGAAGGAATGGCGCACGACGCCATTCCAGTCCTCCAGGTCATACGCCGCAAAATGCTTGCATGTGGCAACAACCTTGGGCTTCGCCGGGCCAATGCCATTCTGCAGCCCATCAACAAGATGATAGACATATCGCGAGACGTGCAGCGGGTCTTCCCCGGGTGTCTCCTGTCCCCGGCCCCAGCGCGCATCGCGGAAGGGGTTAATGTTCGGCGTCCAGAAGTCCAGTCCCGAACGACCAGCGTTACCGAATGCTCGGCCCTCAGTGCTTACTACGGTGGCGACTTGCTTGATCAAGTCGTCGTCGAAGGTGGCACCCAGGAGAATAGGCTGGGGGAACGAGGTGGCATAGCTGAATGGGCCGCTGTCGGCGAACTCGACGCCAGGCGATCCTGCTACACCGTGTAATGCTTCGCTCCACCAGTTGTATGCGGGGAGACCTAGTCTCGGCACACCGGGAGAGTTGTATTGCGTGTTGTTGACTTTTTCCTCGAAGGTCATGGCATTCACCAGTGACCGAGCACGAGTGGTCACGTCGAGGGATGTATCACAGACAGCGAGCTTGCTCATGGGACCGCTTGTGCAGTCCGGAAAGGTGTTTAGAGATAGAGCCACAGGGGCCAGAGAGACAAAGAGGGCGATGGCTTTCCCATTGTGCCACGACATGATGCCAGCCATTGTGTTGCTGGTTTGGTGGTTCTTCTTGACCACAACGAGGTTATCGACAATATTTATATATTCCTGATATCGGCTCATTGAGGGTTCTACCGATGGGCAGATGCATTGTATTTGCCATCCGCTCATGCTGATATCACTCATCATTTCAGCCGAAATCGAGGGCGGATGGCTCATTCAAGTAAAAGTCCTGTGGACCCCTGCACAGTGGTTGGACATAGCCAATGGGTTGTATCCTCAAAGATGCACATAATGAGGAGATGAGCATAAAGAAGCATTTGCCAGGGATTATATTAGCCTGAATATGCTGTATTGCGGGGGATCGTCAATGCTGGATCCAGCTCGGGGAAGGGTTTCCTCGGCATGTCTCAGTCCGCAGGAGAATCTCAATTGGCATTGGTAAGCAAGTGAGCTATGTTGAGCAGTTTAATGTTGTCAGAAGTGACAAGTTGATACGTCTGTGCAATAAAATCATCGCCGAAGGCTCATACATACAAACATGCGTATAGCACCAAAGAACGTTAAAAGTACGGAGTTGGAGGGGGTGCAGGGGACGGTTCAGCATCAGCGATAGGTCTGTGGCAATAGAATCCTTAATTAGAGACGATGTGCCTACCTCCCTATTCTACCATGTTGCAGGACAATACTCGTGGGTCTATTATCAGTTCATTCATTAGCTCAACACAGTTTATTATGATCGTCTATAGCCTAAATCGCATATCTAAACTCGCGATTCTCAAAATCAGTCCGATCTAGAAACTCATGGTCCTTTTCCACCACGTACGCATCCCCCAGCGCTTCCTTTTCCGCATCCCGTTTCTTATTCTCCCGAATCGACAACCACCGGATCAGACACAAGTCCAGGGTGATAAGAACATATAGAATGACAATCGAGATCTTTGCCGGAAGATACCTCGGCGCGTCCTTGTGCTGAAACGTCTGCGGCGATATGATGTTGCCCACAGTATACGCGATGGTCTGGATGCACGAGACGGTGATCTTCTTCGTCGACCCGGCGACATTGGTACTCGTCAACCCCAGAATAGTCGTCCATCCGATGGGGATGCCGCCAGATAGATAATACCCCACCAAGGCGGGAGCTTTATTCGTCGTAGCCATGAGGATCGCACCCACGATGCTGGGGATATGCCCAACGATACACCACAGCAGGCGCTGGTTCGTTCGCATAGCGAGGTACGTCAATCCAACCAGGACGACCACCTCGTACGCGCCCAAGGGTGTCACGAGCAGCAGGCTCTGCGTGGCCGAGTACCCCATCCCCGTAACAAGGATATTGCCGAAGCTGGTAGCGATAGAGTTTGGGATATTCGCGGCAAAGACCCAGAACGAGTAAAGCCATGTCTTTGGATCTCTCAGCGCCTCGTAAAATTGTTCACGCTTGAACACCGAGCTCCCAATACCCTGCTCGTTGCCTCGAAGACGCTCCGCATGCAGGGCCTTCTCCTCGGCTGACAGAAACCCCGCTGTAACTGGGGAGTCCGGCAAGATAAAGAAGAAAAGCACTCCCACAAGCGCGGTAAAGACTCCTAAAATAAGAAAGATAACCTGCCATCCGCGCAGTGCCGCGTGCGGGTCGCTACCGACATGAACCGCTACCCCATACGCAACGTACCCGCCGAACATTTGTGCCCAGCCGCACATGGAGAACCACAGTCCCACCCGGAACGCCTGTTCCTCCTTGCGGTACCACTGCGACGTGAAGACAAC